GGAGGAAGACCCTGCACAGTCCAGGAGCAGCGTGAGTGCCCTGGGCTTTGCGAGTCCTTGGTACTAACAGATTTCAGCTTTACAGTTTGCCTGGGGCCCCTGGTTACCTAACTACACACCTTGCACTGCAGGCCATGCAACTCTGCAGGAGCGCCGCCCTGGGGCAATCACAGGGAGCCCAATGCCCCTACAGACCTTGCATCTTAGTTTGGATCCTGAGCTCACAGTGCTGGGTCCACAGTTATTAGTCAGCTCATGTCCTGGTCTGAGGACCAGGGAGGTGAAAGATATCCAGGATACGGCCATTTATGCCTTTCAAGGTACAGTGATCAGAGCACATAAGCTTTTCAGGGAGCTTTTTCTTCTCTCCCTGCTAACCCTACCCCCTCTATTTGGGAGAGTTGGCCGTGGGGCATGTTTCCAAGGAGTGTGCGTGTGGAGACTGCATACTGAGGCTGGCATGTGCAGTGACTGCCTTCTGGGAAGTGAAATCACTGTAGGGACTTCAAATCAAGATTCAGCAAGAGTTCCCTCTTAAACTCCCCCATCCACTTCAAACAATGTAATTACATATACTTTACATTTTTAATTTAAAAAACATAGACTCAAAAACATAATAAATATTTCTACTGAATAGAAACAAAACAGAAGCATATAGTGGTGAACAGGGGCTGAAACTGCAGCTTCACTGGACTCTGGGTGCAAAACAGGCCTTGGCATCTAGAACTGAGACTCCTGCAGGGTAACTGGGACCAAAAGCACCCAGGCACAGAGGGCAGCGGGAGCCAGCACCATTGCAGGAAACTGAGAGACTGAGTGAATCTCCCTGCTGGTGACACGGCCCCAGCCCTCCACTGCACACTGTTTGGGAATGCTAAGCCACCAACTTAAGACCTGGTCCCAGACTGGGCATCCTGAAACACTAGGCAAAGGTAACCTCACATTTCTAGGCACAAATTATTACAGAGAGGGAGAATAAAACACCTGTCATTCAACTTGACATTTTAACTTGAGCCTGCCCGTTAAAATTCTGAAATACATAAGAAAGATTAACAATTAGAATGATAGCCCACAAAATTAATTGGGAGGTGGGTTTACTGCTACTGAAATGCAAAGAGTAGAACATATTTAAAATGGATACAATTGAAGAATGTTTAGAATCATCAAGACATAAATGAGGGGGCTAGACCCATGGCCAAGTGGTTAAGTTCTCACACTCCACTTTGGCAGCCCAGGGTTTCGCTGGTTCGGATCCTGGGCGCAGCCATGGCACTGCTAGTTAGGCCACGCTGAGATGGTGTCCCACATGCCACAACTAGAAGGGCCCACAACTAAAATATACAACTATGTACTGTGGGTCTTGGGGAGAAACAGTAGAAAGAAAACAAAAGAAGATTGGCAACAGTTGTTAGCTCAGTTGCCACTCTAACAACAACAACAACAAAAGACATAAATGAAGGAGTACCACTCATACAAAAGAGTAAGAGGGGCCGGCCCCGTGGCCAAGGGATCAGGTTCACACGCTCTGCTTCAGTGGCTCAGGGTTTCGCTGGTTTGGATCCTGGGCGCAGACCTAGTGATGCGGGGTCAGTGAGCCGAGGAGTCGAAAGAAAGATTTCTTAGACTCTTAAGATCTGGCAGTAGTGCTCTTTTATTTAGAGAATAGTGTGGAATAGCATGGGGACAGGACCCATGGGCAGTCAGAGCTTCTGCTGCCGCCGCTTCTGCTGCCCCCGCTGGCATGGGGACAGGGCCCATGGGCAGGCAGAGCTCCTGCTGCTGCCCCCGCTGGCATGGGGACAGGACCCATGGGCAGGCAGAGCTGGTGCATGGGGACAGGACCCACGGGCAGTCAGAGCTCCTGCTGCTGCCCCCGCTGACATGGGGACAGGACCCATGGGCAGGCAGAGCTGGTGCATGGGGACAGGACCCACGGGCGGTCAGAGCTCCTGCTGCTGCTGCATGGGGACAGGACCCATGGGCAGTCAGAGCTCCTGCTGCTCTGAGTTGAGGGTTAGGGCTAAATTTCTAAGGCATGGGTACGTGACTTATTTTTACTGGAAAAAAGAAAAGATGATGTAAAAAGTCATTAAATGATTTCAGTGTAGATGGGGTCTGGTTATTGTGCGGTTATATAACTTTAGATACGAATCTGGCCATATAGATCGGCACGCAGGTGAGGATGCCCCAGGCTTCTCTCCCTGGGGCAGTCCTAATTCATACCATAAAAAAAGTCCACTGGGTCATATAGTTTGGCATGTAGGCCAGGTCACCTTGGGCTTCTCTATCTGGGGCAGCCTTAATCCACATCATTAGCACTGCTCGTCAAGCCACGCTGAGGTGGCGTCCCACATGCCACAACCAGAAGGACCTACAACTAGAATATACAACTATGTACTGGGGGGCTTTGGAGAGAAGAATAAAAAAAAAAAAGAAAAAGATTGCTAACACTTGTTAGCTCAGGTGCCAATCTCAAAAAAAAGAAGAGAAGAGATTGTAAAACATAAGCAGGCATATGAGTGTTGAGAAAGACGGATGTGAACTGCAACTAATTAGAAATACTGAAAGTGAAAACTAGTCATTGAAAAACTCAACAGTTCATGTAAATTCTTCACGGGCCACAGTCCAAGAGAGAAGGACGAACTGGAAGACAGGACTGAGGAACTCACCCAGGGAGCAGAGAGAAGACAGAAAAAGAAAAAAAGACTTTGCGGTACTTTGTTGCAGCAGCCACAGGACACTAACATGAAGGGATGGAAATGCTCCTGCCCTCTCCTCGAAACTGCTCTTGTTCCTGAATTTTCATTTGTTGGACTTTGTTCACAACAGAGTGTAGCCTGCGGTGCTGCTCCAGGACGTGGCCAAGCCTGGAATTCATCCTTCCCTTTATCCCTTGGATCTTGCTTCCCAGTCGTGAAGGACAGCTAAAGCCCCAAGCTTTGAAGTCAAACCAAGTTTGCTGCGAGCTTGAGACTCTATAAGATAACATCTAAAACAGTATCTAGCTAACTACAGGTTTCTAGAAAAAGACATGCATTCTCTGGTGATATCTCCATTTTGGTTCCTTTGCTGGCTAGACCAGTCCCACCAGCTCTGTCAGCTCCGCCTCCCTGACTCCTGAGAGTCCTGCAAAGCCGGGGCTGTCTCTCTGGCTGATGTTGGGAGAGACGCAGGTCCCTGGCCTGATGGGAGGGAATGAAAAGGGTCACAAGGGTCCTTTCTGAGGTGACATCACACGCTGACAATGCCAGCCTTCCCCCTGCCCGTGGCCTGCATGGACAGCCCGCTCCCTCCTCTGCGGGGGGAAGACCAGCTGTCCGCCGCCCAGGATGGACCGCTCTGCGCAGAGCCTCGGGCCTCCGAAGGGCCGATGCTGCGCCTACAGCCGCTCCTGCCTCCTCTTGATGGCACTTGGGAGCGCTCTGCGCCATTTCAGAGCCGGTGCCCCTCAGCCTGGGCTGGCGCCTGCGCTCAGCATCCCCATCCCCGGGAGCTGTTGACCTCCGCCCTCCTGAGGGAGGATAAGCTTGGCCTTAGGGAGGCTAAGCTCTTCTTTGGGGTCAAAGTCGCGCTCAGACCCGGCTGGAAGAGGGTGGAGAAACTCGCAGTTCTTGGGTGCCGGGGTCCCGCCCCGGCGGAGTCCAGGTTCCTGAGGGATGGACAGCGTCGGCACGATGAGTGAGGGGGAAATAAAGGGGACGTGAGACTTGGGTTGGTGTTAGCAAGTCCGACTTTACTGTGCACAAGTGTCGTTTATATATTTTTCAGGATTAGTACAGAAATAGTTTTACAAATATTCTCAGAGAGATAAGGAAGTAAAAAACGAGCACAAGAATATTTATTAGCATTCTATTCTATAGAGCATAAGGTTAATGGTAGTCTTCTCCGCAATTAACTAGTGTTTGTTGTCTCTAAGCTAAAGGAGATAGGTACCTAGGCGTCTGTTGTGATTCATGGTAAAGTTAAATCAAAGAGAGAAGGTCCAGGCCTCCGGACAGGACAGCAGTCCGTCTGGTTACATCCTGGTGGAGCCATCCCTGCCTCCCTCAATCATTTACGCCATTAGTGTAGATGGTTAATGGGAACAAAAGGCGACTCCAGGGTGTCTTATCCCCAGGGCTATCTGCATTCTCAGCGGGCAGTTAAACATCTTTACTTTTTCGTGCCCTTTAGGGGGTGGAAGCATTCCTTTGTCTTTTAGATTGTAGAGCTAACAGTCCCTTAAGTACACTGCCGGAGAAAGTATCATATTGTTAGTAAAGTAAAGGGCTGAAAAGCTAAGCTAAACTATATATCTTCAAGAATAAAAAAGAGAAATAAGTATACACATAACCTTGATAGAAAGCATGCATATAATTCAGAAAATATCAGGGGTGTCGGCCGGCCATTCTTCACTGAGGGGCATCCCTGCACCCCTCGGCCCTTCTACTCATCAATTATTTACTATTTATTGCTTTTAGGAGAAAACCTCTATAACATTTTAACAGAAAGCAGAAGGTCAAGAATAATATATAGATACTTCTTGATCATCCAATTAACCAGCAAACTTAGAAGGACGATGCATATATATTTAGACAAAGAACTGGAGGGAGAAGGAAACATTAACCAGACAGAGGCCATAAACCTAATTCGACATCTTATCTGGGCAGGATTCCTTTCTGATTGCCTCAAATAGGACTGTGTGCTCCTCCAATAATTAACTGAAGAATATCTTGAAAGTTACCTGCAGGTGGTCACATTCTCTTACGATATCTAATTTTCCCAGGAGGTAGTGCCTCCCAAGCAGCCACCCAAAGGAGTGAAAACTGGAGGTTAAGAAAGGAAAAGGAATGAAGGGCAATTAGAAGCAGCACAGGTTTCAGAACTATGTGAGGGGCTGGCCAGTTATTCTTCACCAAGGGGCGACCCTGCACCCCTCGGCGTTAATCGGCTGGACCCTGTCAAACAGCCGATCAAATGATGTAGCCACGGCTCCCAGCACTTGGGACTTTCTGGGGGGTTCTGCTCCTTGAACCGGCTCCCTTCCCCCGCAGCGAGGCCCGGCTGCCCCCTGAAGGCCACGCCCTCCTGGCTCCTTCTTCACCCCCAGCTGCCAGACTTCATTAATCTCTGCAGCAATCGCTTGGCTGGGCCAGCACCTGCAGGGGAATTCACGGAATCCAGAAAAACCTGCTTTTTGGTTTTCGGGTTTTATTTTTAATACCATCATGGTGAGATAAACTAGGCCAATAAAGGATTTTTTTCTGTATTGTAACCGTTCATCAAAGCAGACACGGGGCAGAGCATCCTCTGTAAAACCAGTCACACGGACTCTAGGCCAGTGGTAAGTGGGATTCTTGGGCTCCGCGGTGCCGGCACTAACGTTTCTCAGCTGAGCCATCGAGCGCGCTGGGGAGGAGCCATGCTTGGCCCCAGGCTCTGTGCGGTGGGAGGCAAGAAGGCTTTCATTTTCTTTCTTTTTACTGAAATATGTTTGACATATAACATTGTGCAAATTTAAGGTGTACAACGTGTTGATCTGACGCATTTATGTATTATAATATGATTGCCATTGATCGCTAATTAGCACCTCCATCACATCAAGTAATTATCCTTTCTTTTTAGTGGTTGGAATAATTAAGTTCCAGTCTCTTAACAAGTTTGATGATGAGAATACGATATTATTGTCTATATTCACTGTACTGTGCATTAGCTCTCTAGGGCTTATTTACTACTAGCTGCCAATTTTTACCCTTAAACATCTCTCCTATCCCCCTGACCCCTAGCCCCTGGTAACCAACACTTTACTCTGTTTTCACGACTTTGGCTTTTTTAGATTCCACATATAAGTGATATCGTACCATATTTGTCCTTCTCTGTCTGACTTATCTCACTTAGCATAAGGACCATCCATGTGTCACAAATGGCAGGATGTCCTTCTTTCTCATGCTCAATAATATTCCATTGCATATACATACCACACCTTCATCCATTCATCCCGGGACGGGCACTTAGGTTGTTCCCATGTCCTGGCTGTTGTGAATAATGCTGCAATGAACATGGGAGAGCAGATGTCTCTTTGCTATTCTGTTTTCATTTCCTTTGGGTATATACTCAGAAGTGGGATCACTGGATCATATGGTAGATCTATTTTTAATTTTTTGAGGAACTTACATACTATTTTCCGTAAGAATGCTTTCATTTTCTATTGTTTGTTCTATTCAAACTCAGAAGCAAACAACAAGAGCGGTCGGTGCAGGAGTGGGATGTGTCAACAGCTCACCGCACTCCTGGCCTCCTTTTGGGGTGCCTGCTGTTTTCACATCAGGAGGTAGAAGTGTCAGCAGTTAAGGCAGCCCATGGCAATTTCAAGGTCACTGTCGGCTAAGCACACAGGTGATCTAACTTTCTTCAGTCGTTGGCCAGAGCTGGGAGAGAGGAGAATGAGCCTGAGGCCACGTCCTGCGTCCTGAGGGAGACCTGGGCAGCAGTGGGAAGGAAGGCTCTAAGAAAGTGGAGCTGAATTGATGGGAGAAGGACAGGATGGGGGTGATCACACTGCAGAGGATGTGCACGTGACCTGGAGAAGTCCTAAAAGTTAAAGTATTTAAAAATAAGACGGTGCAGGAGCACTTGGAAGTTATGTTCCAAGTCTAAGGACAACCAGCTGGAATTAGCAGGAGCCTGTGGAGCAGGTGGGGTTTCCTCCATGAGGGTCCTGTAGCACGGGGCTCGGCTACCTGTTTCCCCTCCCCCAACCCCCCCCCCCCCCCACACACACACACAAGAAAACGCTAAGACCAGGGCTTTCCTGGCTCTGCTCCCTGGCCCACGCCATCAGCTTCCCATTCCCCAGCAGCTTTCTCTTCTTTCTGCAAAGGACAAAGCCAGGAAGAGCTTTTCTAAACCTCCATTTTTGTTGGTTGCTTAGTTCAAGGTCAAGCATGACTATAACACAAGAGAAAAAACAGGAAGATGAAAAAACAGGGGGAACTCTTGAGGAGAGCAGACATGGTCCGGGGTCCCACCCAAGATCTTAAAGGCAGGATTGGCACCCGGAGTCCGTCTCTGTTGGCCCGATGGTGAATGGACAGCAGTGGTCCGTCTGCCCTGGGGGGAAAGGGAGAGGAGGGAAGAACCAAGGGAGAAAAGGGAGCCATGCAGACACCTCTAGGAAGATCAGCCCTCGCTGTGCTCTTCTCATTGGGAAGGGAGGTGGCTCCCTGAAATCTGAAATATTCTGAGTCCCTACCATCGCTGTTTTCCTTCTTTTCCTGTGGCATCCCTTTCTTCTTCAAGTTTCCCTTTTTATTTTTCACTGGAGAGGTGCGCCAAGTAATTTTTTAATAGAAATTGAATGAATGAAAAATAAAAGTTCAAATATTAATTTAGATGGATCAGCTACAGAAAAGAACCTGCTCCATTTCAAAGAGCCTTTCCTGGGTGCCCAGAGCTCCATCTTCCTGCCACTATTGGTCTATAGGAGTCCTTTCCTCCTGATTTATTGGCAGTCCCCAGCTCTTGGCTCTGCCCCACACAGCTTAGCTGGATCCAGCCTCAGTCCTATCACATTACAAGGCAGAGGCCGCTCAGGAACAGCCCATTGGCACCATCTACTGGACCAAGTTCTCAATCCGTTCATGAATGAGCGCGGCTCACTTTAACCATGATTTCACCCACTGCTTAGCTTCCTTTATAGACAGACACTTCTCATACTCAGTAATATACTTACATTGTTGAATGAGTGCTTACAACTATGATTATTATTTTTATAACAACTGTATTGCACTATAATTCACATACCTTACAATTCGCCCATTTAAAGTGTGCAATTCAATGGCTTTTAGTACATTCAGAATTGTACAATCATTGCCACAATCAATTTAGAACATTTGCATTGCCTGAAAAGAACTCCCCTACCCCTTAGCAGTCACTCCCGTTTCCCCCCATCTTCTCAGCCCTAGACAAACACCTGTCTACTTTTTATCTCTCAGGATTTATCTGTTCTGGACATTTCATATAAATGGACGATATGGTATGTAGTCTTTTGTGTCTGGTTTCTTTCACTTAGCATAACGTGTTTAAGGTTCATTCATGTTGTAGCATGTATGAGTACTTCATTTCTTTTTATGGCTGAGTAATATTGCGCTGTATGCATATGTTCTACATTTTGTTTATCTGATCACCTATTGATGGTCATTTGGATTATCTCCACCTTTTGGCTATTGTGAATAATGCTGCTATAAACATCCATGCATGAGTTTTTGTGTACATATGCTTTCATTTCTTTTGAGTATACACCAAGGAGTGGAACTGCTGGTTCATATGGTAATTCTGTTTAGTCTTTTGAGGACCTGCCAGACTGATTTGCAAAGTGGTTGCACCACCTGCAGTGGATGAAGGCTCCAATTGCTCCACATCCTCGCCAACACTTGTTGTTATCTGACTTTTTGATTTTAGCTCAGATTTTAATCCTAGTGGGTATGAATTCTTGTCTCGTTGTGTTTTGATGTGCATTTCCTGAGGGCTAATGATGTTGAGTATCTTTTCATGTGCTTATTGGCCATTTGTTTATTTTCTTTGGAGAAATGTCTATTCAAATCCATGACCCATTTTTAAATTGGGTTAGTTTGTATTTTATGACTGAGTTCAGTAGTTCTTTCTACTCTACACACACGTTCTCGCCTTGACTCTGTTGGTGCTGGAACTGTAGACCAAGGGAGCAAGCAGCCTAAACCTAAAATAACTCTAAAAAGTAAAGTCTATTGTTAAAATGTACAAAAGTCCAGAAGGTAGAGCTGGTTTGGAAGAAGATAATTAGCTTAGTTCTGAAACTGGAAATCTTAACCTCTTCTGGACCCAGCCTGGAGCCCACCATGGGGCTGGAGGGGTGATGGGGAAGGGGTCACACACAGGGAGAGGGAACAGGGAGGAGAATGGGGTCTTGGCAGGTCCCACAGTTATAGGTGAGGGAAGGGAGAGACCCATCAGGGACAGAAGCAGAGAGCCCAGAGAAGTGGGAGGGAAAAGTGAGAGCCAGGGCCATGGGTTTCCCAGGTGGAGAGTGTGGCCAACAGCGTCTAAATGACCATCAGTCCTTTGTTGTTACCTTTGGGGTGAGGGAAAATCCCCTTTCTTCTCTTCTTGTGTTCTTATGGCTGGACTAGTAATAAAATTGACACAAGACCAGATTAACAGGAGAAAAACCCAGTTTAATATGTACATATTGGAGACCATAAAGAAATGATGCTTGGAGAGGGAACAAAGCAGGCAGCATATATATCTTGAACACAAAGAAACATAAATTTGTGAAGAATTGACTGGACAAAGAAAGTTAGGTTTAGGGTACGTAAATAGTGAGGAATTTAAGCAGAGTTTAGGCTGAGGTAGGAAACTAACAAGGTTTGTTTATGCAGCTTCTTGCCCCGAATCCCCAGCTCTGCTGAGAAGGATGCAGGAGAGCACCTGTCACACAGGAGGTAGATTTCCTGCTTTCAGGGGAACAGAGACAGGAGGGTCAGAATGCCCTTTCTGCTTCTCAAGTAACTTTAGTTCAAAATAATCAATATGCAATTGTGGGATATTTGGGGTTGGCCTGCCCTGGGCCCCAACATTATTATCCCAGCATGGCTTATAGTTTCTGTGTAAAGTACTCTGACTTCAGGAGCTGATGGAAACAAATCCCACAGTACCACACAGGACTTTAAACAGCCCCTGCAAAGTAGGTTTTTTTCTAATAAAGTGGTTAATCACACATAGAAGTTTTGTTTTTTTAGTTGTCTCACGCTTCTCTCTCTTACAAATATTGCCCTTCACACCTGGGCTGTAGAGCACTGACCTCCTTTTACAGGAAGTGAGCCAATCGGAAAGATTGCCTCGTAGGAAAAACTGAAGTAGATGGTTTAAACACAAGCTTGTTAACTTGGTTTCTGTCTTGTTGAAATTCTTTAGCATTGCAAATGAAGCATTTGGGTAAAGATGTAGCAAGAAATATACTCCCCATTCTAGTACCTTTTGTTATTTGAGTCCAAATGACTGGAAGCAGCTGTGTTGGGTAACATACTTCCTTTAAGTGTTTGAAGGGTTGAAAGTCCAAAACCTGGGACAGCATTTATTTATTTTAAACCATCCCTCCTCTGTTGCCCGCTCACAGGCATCGTCTCTCCTTGTTTTCCTGCTGCTACTTGAGAGAGGCATGTTCTCTCCGTCCTCACCGCCCGCCCGGCTGTTAGAGAAGGTCATCCAATACATCGATCTCCATCAGGATGAATTTGTCCAGGTAGGAAAAACTAGACACAAAGAGTGCTCGCATGATATGCCCTTTGGGTATCTGGGTGAATGGTTATTTGCTGGGAGATGTGGATTTTTATTTTATTTTATTTTTTTTGGTGAGGGAGATTGGCTCTGAGCTAACATCTGTTGCCGATCTTCCTCTTTTTGCTTGAGGGAGATTGTCTCTGGGCTAACATCTGTGCCAATCTTCCTCTGTTTTTGTATGTGGAGCACCATCACAGCATGGCTTGATGAGTGGTATGTAGGTGCACACCCGGATCCAGACCTGCCAACCCCTGTCACTGAAGTGGAGTGCGTGTACTTCAATACCACGCCACTGGGCTGGCCCCCTGAGTGATGTGGAATTTTTTCCCCTGACAACTTAATTCCACTTAAAATGCCTGTGAATCCTCATTGAATTTAAATAACCAATATTCTTTAGGTTTAGGTAAGAGATCCCTCCCAGCCGTTCCTCCTAAAAATGGCATTCCCAGCTCCTTGGATCTAGGCCTGTCCGTTTAGTGATGACCAGCAAACTCCACTGAGCTCAGGTTCACTCTGGACCATCATCAGACAGCCCATCCTCCCCTTTAGAGGGCTTGCTGATGTCCTCTCCACCTTCAACACCTGCCTGAAACTCATCCTCCCCAGGACACATCCCAGGCTAATTCCACTGGACTACAGCTGCTTTAGGTCCAGACAGAGCTCTGCCAAGTTCAACGTCAAAGCTCTTTGTTTTGTAGTCCATGTGCAATACACAATTTATCTCCTCCTGTATAACCTCTGCTTCATTCCTAACTCACCACGTGGTGTGGGCATATATAGAGAGAGGGAGGGCAAGGAGCCAGAGGAGAGGGGAGCGGTGGGGCAGGAGAAGGCTGTCTCCTCCTCCTCACCTGCAAGACCCTCTCCTCCTTCTCTGGCTGTCTTGTCCCCTCCCTCGCCCGCACACCTGGCCCACTACAGCCCAGAAACTCCCTGGAGTCTCACTGGACTTTGTACCCTGAGCCCCACACCATGTCTGGTTCATGACGTGTGTTCAATATACGTTTCTTGGATCAGCCAACCAATGTTAGGAGTATTATTGGGCAAACGATTAGATGTGAAACCCTCATGTTTCATGCTAAAACATAAAGCTGAACGACCAGGCCTCTGTTCCTAAGCTTGACCTTCATGCAATCCTCACTCCTGTGGGTTTATTAATTTGGCATAAATGCCTGTTGGGTTTTCAAAATCTGAGCGGGGTTTCCGTGTTGCTGGAATTAGAGGGGAGAGGAACAGCATGTGTGGGAGCATGCGCCCATTTGGGTCTTTCAGCCAAAACTCTTCTCTTCTCTTTGCAACTTCCTCAAATATACCCAATCCATCAAATGTAAGGATAACTTGGCAGCATCTGCTCTATAAATTCTAGTTAAAAAATGTAAAACACAATATTCCTTAAGGTGAAATAACTTTCTTTATGATAAAGTAAAAGCATTACATCCAGAATAGAGAGTAAACTAAAATAAGTTAGGGAGTTCAAGATCAGTCATCCAAAATATGAGTGGTTTTTAATAAAAACTATGGCTATCCCAGTATGAGCAACTCAGTGCTGATACTGGACTGTGAATGATTTTTCTGGATAACTCAACGTTAGCTGGTGTTATTGAGTGCCCACTCAGGGCCGGGCACTGAGCTGTATTTTCTGTGCACTGTATCTTATTTAATCCTCACTGAAAGGAAATTTGTTTTCTTCCACTACTCCACTCACATCTGTGACCAGATGTGTGTGTTTTTGTACAAGAAGCAATTCTCCAATTCTCTGCGACACCAACTGGGTGTCCTACAGTTTGACTCACTTCTGACACGATCTACCTGGAGTTAGCGTCACCCTCCCCCCCCCCCACCGCTGACTCTAAGCGCCAGTCTCAAGTATGAGGTCTCCAGGTTCCCTGCACTTCTCTCTGACTTGGCTACCAGTTGGGGATCCCCACGACCCCGTCCTCAGGTTCAATCATCTGCTAGAACAGCTCCAGAACTTAGGGAGACATTTACCTTACCTTTACCGGTTTATCATATACTAAAAGACATGATAAAGGACACAGACGAACAGCCAGATGAAGGGGTGTATTGAGGACCGGAAAGGTCCCCAGCACAGGAGCTTCTGTCCCCGTGGGGTTGGGGCACACCACCCTCCCGGCACCTGGAGGTGTTCACCTACCTGGAACGCCGCACTTTAGGGATGTTTATGCAAGCTTTATCACGTTGGCATGATAAATTATTGACTCACTCCCCAGCCCCTCCCCCTCCCCTGAGGATGTGGGCTGGGGTTGAAAGTTCCCAGCTTATAATCACGCTTGGTCTTCCTGGTGACAGCCCCTATCCAGGGACCACCAGCATTCCCTCATTAGAACAAGAGATGCTCCGATCACCCAGATAATTCCAAGCGCATGAGGAGCTCTGGGTTAGGAACTCGAGGCAGAGACCAAATCCTGGAACAAAAGATGCTCCCAGCACCTTTATCGCCTAGGAAATTACAAAGGTTTTAGGAGCGCTGGCCAAGAGCCCAGAACAAAGGCCAAGATACATATTTCTCATTGCATCACCATGTCACACTCACTGTAACCTGCAGTTAGGGAGCATTGCTCCTCAGACAGATGAGGAAGCTGAGGCTAGGAGAGTTCCAGGAAGGTACTCAGTCACCGACTATAGAGGGCGGAACCAAGGCTGCCTGCCTGCACCACCCTGTGCTGAATGCCGGGGTACTCTGCCCGCGGATCCTAAACGCAAAGGGTGCTCAGGAGGAGCCCTGCAGCCCAGCTGAGGCCACCAGGGGGTTGAATGAGAGTGACCCGTGAGGGCCAGAGGCCTCCAGGGGCACTTGTGGGAAGCCCAGAATTCTGGAGCGGGTGTGGCCGGCCAGCTGCTCTCGGTTCCTAGTAACTAGAAACAGTGAGTCGGGGCCTGCCCTTCTCTGCCACCCTGGAGGACCCAGGAGGCAGCGGCCAGGGTTTTAGGAAGGCACCCTCCAGCCCAGCGCGTCCTGCCTCATCTTCTTTATTAACCAGAGGTCTCTGGCCTCCGTTCTTGATTGAACCTCCAGCTTCTTGTGAGTGTCGCGTGTTGCCAGCTCAGTCTTCAGGACAAACAGAGAGCGCTGGGGGTGTGGGGCCTCCTGCCCTTGAGAACCGGCACCGGGAAGAGAGCCCCACCCCGAGTAGACCTGGATGACCCCCTCATGCTGATCACCTCGTTGCCTTTCCTCACAGACGCTGAAGGAGTGGGTGGCCGTTGAGAGCGACTCCATCCAGCCTGTGCCTCGCCTCAGACAGGAGCTCTTCCGAATGATGGCCCTGGCTGCAGACAAGCTCCGGCGCCTGGGAGCCAGCGTGGACTCCGTGGACGGGGGCTCTCAGCAGGTGCTGGGTGGCCCCCTCCCACCTACGAGCTGCCACTCCCTGTACATGGGCCATACCTTCCCTTGGTGGGGCCAAGATGGGGACTTACCCTGATCCTCAACAAAAAAGCCCCACAATCTCAATTCCCAGTAAGGATGAAAAATTCCACCTGGTGCCAAATGAGACGATTTTACTGATTCCTCATCATGTCAGGATCGGGGGTGGGGGGCAAGTGGAGGAGAGGAGCGGAGGTCAGCTTATTACAGAGAGGCCCCCATACTATTCACAACCTGCTCGTAAGGTTCAAATTTATCCCAAACTGTCCTTCTCTTTAAATTCAAATGCGTCTTCCTGAAAGGCCATCCGTATGTAGAGCTGCGATCCTTTATCAGAGTCATTGCTACTACTGCCACGCAATCACAAACGGCCGTCTTAGACCCACGTGCCCCATGCCGCCAGCTTTAGTCCAGACAAGGCTCTAAGTGGTCTGTTTTCCAGAACCATGTCCACCTAATTCAAGCTAGCTGAGTCTGAGTTTGGATTGGAGAGATTTTCAATTAAGTATACTATTTGTCAGTGTCTCTGAGGGAGTACTTACTTTTAATTGTTTGATGTTTTAACGAAAAGTGTCTCAAGGTACCCATTTTAGAGCTGGAAAAAGTGATGATTGGAAGAATTACATGGGCTCTACGAGGACCCAGGGGTAGAAACAGGACTCCTAATGTCGTGTCTTTGGATTTTCTGGAAGAGCCAAATCTTGTTTTCTTTTTTAATGTGGTCCATTTTCCATCTGCAGCTGCCCAATGGTCAGACTCTCCCGATCCCTCCCATCATCCTAGCCGAACTGGGGAATGATCCGAAGAAACCCACTGTGTGCTTCTACGGCCACCTGGACGTGCAGCCTGCTAGAAGGGAAGATGGGTGGCTCACGGACCCTTACACGCTGACGGAGGTGGACGGTATGTGACCACCAGTGCTGCGTTCCCCCATGGATAAGGGATTGCTTACAGGCTTAAGAATTTAAGATGTGACTCCTGTCTCCAGCTGCAGGCCCTCCCCCGTTGTTAAGAAGGAGCAGAATGCTGCTCTCATTGTCTGTAGTCTCATAGTTGGTCCAATGAGGCTGATTTTCTTTCATTTGTGGAGGAAACTATGAAACTTTGTGCCCCTAGGGGGACTAGCTCCCCATGATGGGAGTTCTTGGGTTGTGAGGAAAATAGTTGTCTAGGTCACACATTTTCCTTTTTAAATATACCAAATGTAATTATGTTTTATAAAGAAAAGAAGAAGAAAGGTTAGTGGAGATAGACACACACTCTTTTTTCATTCTTCTTCCGATCGTAAAGTCTCAAAGTGAGAGCCTATGTTGCGTGACATTCCACAGCAAATCCTCAGGTCCTTTTCAATGAACTTGGATGAAATAACTAATTACTGTTAAGGCCAAGGGGATTTGTATATTTCCAATTAGCTTACATTCTCTGACTAGGTGATGACCCTACTATCTGTACATAAGAAATCATGCTTTGAGATTTCAGAGCAAGATTCGTACCTGGAAAAATAGAAAGCACTGTTAAAATGATTACTTGTAAAACTACCTCTGTTCTTAGCCCACTCAAGTTGGCAGAGGTGTCTGTGCTTTTTTGAAAATTCTTCCCCCATTTTTAAAGGAAAACTTTACGGACGAGGAGCAACAGACAACAAAGGCCCCGTTTTAGCATGGATTAATGCTGTGAGCGCATTCAGAGCCATGGAAGAGGTGGGTGACCAGCTGTGTTTGGGAGAGAGGATGGGGATGATGATGATGGCGACATGATGAGGATGAGGGTGATGAGGATGAGGAGGGTGATAAAGGCAGTGTGCTTTGAGCTACTCACTGTGCTCTGCGCTTTAAACTGCATGTGTCCTTTCCTCTTCCTACAATCCTTGGAGGTGTGTATTACAATCACACCCACTTTACAGATGAAGAGAGTGAGCCTGGGGAAGGTTAGGGAGCTTGTGCAAAGCCACCCAGCTGGTCTGAGCCTGCACTGTTGACCACAATGGAAAAGGAAACACAACAAAAAACATGGTGAGCTAAATTACTATCTGCTGGGACTTGTCTTTTTTCTCCTTATCTTATCTTGTCTTTTTTTACCTTTATCTTACCTTAGCTTGTCTTTTTTTTTATCTTCTCCTCTTTCTTATCACAAAGTATAGTTTTATTAATAGAAACAGGCATACACTTTAAAAAAATATTGCTACTTTGCAAATTATCAACATAGAAATCTCTGGTTATGTGACATTCTGTCTGAATCCTTAAATCTCTTTCCATTCTTGTGGAAAGTAGTTTCAAGAGAAGTCCAGATAAGGGTTCTGGAAGAAAGGTGGGGCTGCAGCTCTGAGCAGGAGGGCTCCTCTTCAGGCCACCAGAGGCCAGGACTGGTGGACCGGGTATGCATCTTTGACTGTCTGGTGTGATGCTCTCACAGGATGGTTTCGTCTCACACCATTCTTTTCTCTTCTACTAATCAATGTGCTTAGACTCCAAACAGAGGATTCAATCTAGCTGTGTGGCTACAGGCAGGAGAATTGATCTCTCTCGGCCTCAGATTCTGTTCTGTAAAAATGAGGGTGTTGATTTGGGTGGCCGGCTTTCTGACACTGGTTTTATTTGATGATGTACTTCCATTTTACGCAGAAATGGCCCATCTCGTTAGTGAACTTGAGATGGGGAGAGCCTGGCTGTTGGCTCCTAGCCCCTGTTCTTACTTCCAGCTCTGGGGAAGTTGGAAAACTCCCACACTGTGGCTGGGCCAGCTCCGAGTTCAGGGAAACTTCCGAGGAGAGGAGGCAGCTCCAGGGCTGGAGATGGTGGGAGGAGTCATTGGAAATGGCCAAGGAAATGGGAGAGGGAAGAGGAAGAAGGAGAGGCACAATCATTACACCCTGACTCCCAAAGCACTTCCCAAGCAAAGCCAACCCGTTAGCCTCTCCTGCATGTTAAGTTCAGGAAACATGCTCAGAGGACCTACTGTGCGCCAGGTACTACGAGAGGTCATGGGGCTGGAGGCACAGGTCTCTGTGGTCCTGGCCTTGAGGACTCTCCTCTTGTTCCCCTGCTCACCCTGGACCTGTTTCACAGCCCTAGGGTCTCCTGAAGCACACTGAGAGGGCCTCAGCTTTCTAGAAAGTTCCTCAGGGCCCTTTGAGCCAAAGTCTCTCTTCTACTCAGACCCAACCTTTGAGGTGTCCATTGTTGAATGTTCCTTGCCGTGCAGTTTGTAATGGGAAGTCTGACATCTGCAACTTTTAGGTCATAGGATTGACATTTTACACAAACTTCCAGAAGCAGCTAATATAAACATTGTCCAATGTGGTATTATAATAACAAGGAGGCTCGTGTTGGCTTTGTGGGTGCTGGGACATGCACAGGAATTAGACAGGGCCAGTTCCAGGCTGGGCTCCACAAAGGATTAGCTGTGTGACTTGGGGTGCAGACAGATTTTGTGGGCTTGCTCTGCCACCTTTCCTTTATCTTGCTCGCATGGCTTAATTGAATTAAGCATTTTTGAACACTGGAAATTTAAGAAGGAAATGGGTCCCCTTTGTTCGGTTCAAGGACACCATCACAGAGCAAGCCCTTTGCCCACTGTCCCGGCTGCTGGCCCCAGCAGAGGCTCTGGGAGCAGCACACCTCTTCCAGGATGGAGGAGGTTCAAGGTTGGGGTTCGGCTGTGCCCGTCTCCACCTTGCCCGTTCTGGTGAGGACTAGGGGAGTAGGCATCAATCTCTGGGTGCTGTCGCCACAGGATAAACACAACACCGGGTAGAGCAGCCCAGCTCACGCCCAGAGCGTAATTCCATCTCTGAGGGTGCCTCTCCCAAACCCTGGCCCTCAGAGCCGGTCCTGGCTGCAGTCTGTTCTCCTGGAGGTGATTTCCTCAGAGGCCGGGGGCTGCTCTTTCATCAGTTTGTTTGCTCCTGAGACATAAGCAGAAGAGATGAGATTTAACTGTGCTCACTCAACTGCTTTATCTTATCGAGAAAGACAGGCTCAATAAATCAGAGCATTTTCCGGCTGGGTCTGTTGACCACTCCAAAGTCCTCTTCTCATTGCTGATGCTCGCTCTAAATAAGCCCTGAGCACTGAATGTGGCCTTGGTTTTTCTCTCTCTCTTTCTTTGATTCTCTCTCTCCACTTTCTTTCTTTCTCTCCTTCCTTCTTTCCCTCCCTCTCTCTCTCCCTCCCTTTTCTCTCTTTTTCCTTGTTTCTAAGGGGAGAAAAAGAGATGTTTAAAAGAAAGTTCCTACATAAAGGCCAAAATCTGCTTTGCTTTTTTCAATTTTCACCTCTGAAACTTACATAATCACGTACAAAACCTAAGAAATATTTTCTGCCCTTGGACAAGTCGGTTAATCTCTGAGCCTCATGTTCCACATCTGTGAGCTAGGAATGATGAAGCTTCTGGGCTTCAATGAAGCAACAGATGTGAAGGTGCTCCAGCGCCCGCGCGAGCCAGGCCACCACGACTGCTGGCTTCTTCCTTCCTGTGCCTCCTGCCCTTCCATCCTGTCTTTCTGTCTCCATTACAGAGCACTTCATGTACATCACCCCACTGGATTACTTTAGCCCGAGGCAGAGCAATGTTAATAACCATATTGCATGGATAGAGACGTGAGCTGCTGAAAGGTTAAATGACTTTTCCCAGGTCCCTTGGGCATCAAGGAACAGGGCAGAGACCAAAACCCAGGCCTGGCTACTGGCCCATCCTCCTCCTCCTCCACTTAATAGCTATTGACTTGTATTTTATTAATCACATTTTGCCAGAAAATTCTTAGCTTTCCAATTACTTCTCAGCAATTGTTTTCTAGTTAAATGTTAATAAGAGTTTTCAAATATCAGGGTTTTCAGAACTTTAGCTTAACTTCCTAAGACACGTAGAAATGTATGCAAGGGATACACTTCAACAAATCATTATCCCCAAATGCCCTTAACCAGCTGAATGACCGAAGGTCACTTGTTTTTCATAGATAATCCTCCACTCATCCTGCCTTTGTTAATCTTTGGCGAGTCAGTCCCACTCAGTAGAACTAATTAGCATGTTTGTGCTGTCGTTGGTCTGCACAGAATCACTTTTAGAGCCTCCTGCTATGTCTTATGCTCCAGGGAAAGACTCTGACCTCTCCTCTTCATGTGGCTCTCAAAGATATGAAGTTATAAATTATAAAGATACAAAAAGATCAAAACCAAATGGGGGAAAAAGCACATTGTAAAAATTTTAAAGGAGCTATTCCGTGCTCTGATATTAACTAGAGAAAAACTCTAGTTCCATTTTGCTACAAGATCAAAGCCTTTGAATGAGTCAAAAGGCAGATTGAACCCACAGCTGAAAAATAACAGATACTTGAAATAAAAATTATCCTGAGGCTTAAACATTAGACAGTCTTTCAAAGGCAAGAGTTCTCATTTATCATGCTCAGAATTATGAGGACAGAAAAGAGATTTGTAATTGAGTAACCTTTCTGGAAAAATCCCTTTCTGGGAGAAGGAGGAAAGCGAGTCTGTCTGGGCTGGCCCAGCACAGCTCTGCAGTGTGGCTGGTGCTTTCCTTTAGGAATTCCTTCCCCAAATTCTTTATCATCAACATCAAATTGATGGGTCATGCGAGAGTGTACACACTGGGCATTGTCTTGAATTCTCTGTCCCAATCTTAGTTAAAATTCCTGTGTTGTAAACAGAACTATTGGGGATGTAAACAACCCATACACTGAATGTATATAATAACAGAATGTATTTATGTTACATCCAAACTAATCCTGGGCCTTAAAAGGTGAAGGGGCAAGTTGTGCAGTTTTTTGACAGAATGGTTTGTCCCATTGTTAATTTGTTAATTCAGGATCTCCCCGTGAATATCAAATTCATCATTGAAGGGATGGAAGAAGCAGGTTCTGTCGCTCTGGAGGAGCTTGTCAGAAGAGAAAAGGACCGGTTCTTCTCCAGTGTAGACTACGTGGTAATTTCAGATAATCTGTGGATCAGCCGGAGGAAGCCAGCGCTCACCTGTGGAACACGAGGGAACAGCTACTTCACTGTGGAGGTATTTGCAAACGACGGTGGCGCACAGGGAGGAATCCACTCAGGGACCTTGGTGGGGAAGAGAGAAGGCTCTTGCGAGAGCAGAGTTGGGACCCTGACCTGGATGTGCGGCCCGGGGGATCACGGAGGTCTTGGGACTGGGGCGATCATGAAGACTCCCAAGCTGAGGGTGGATGTGCTTTGCAGTTTTCTGGAGAAAGGATTCAGAGGGGTTTGTGACTCACAGACCAAAAGGTTTAGGAACTACGGTTGTGGGATTTGGAGGCAGGAGCAGCAGCCCCGGGAGCTAAGCTAAGGATGCCACCTAAGCAGGTGATGGGGATGCTGTGACAGGAATATTACCTGCTCCGCGGTGCCTGCCTGCCGCATCTTGGATGGAAAGAGAAGATTTGCTGGCCTTGCCGAGGCCTGCGTCTGTACTCTGACTCACACGATGGACAGGCTTGTGAAGGCACCTCAACCTCTGAGCCTCAGTTTCCCTACCTATAAAGTGGGCACAATAACCATCCCCCCCAGGTTTGTTGTGACCACTAGGTGCAACATCCAGTTCACATTTGACACCTAGTCTGTTTCCTTCTCCTTTTCTATGAATACAGACAGCCTGTGATGGAGCATACTGTTTAGAATCAGAAAGTCCCTCCCTGGCAACCATGAGTTATTTTAGCCACTTTAGTCTGTCTTCACATATAGCAATGTGTGTGCTAATGATACGTACCTGATCCAACCCCGGCTGTCATGAGAAGGAGGTGGTATAGCAAAGATGACACACTCATGCATTCTTGTGGATTTGAGAATGAGTGTGTGCTTCCTATTCGCTAGACATAATGATGCTGAGTGCCAGAGGATACAGGACTGAATAAAACAGCACCTGCCCTCAAGGAGTTTACTGCCAGGAGATACAGATACTTCAAGAGATGATGTGGGAGTGGAAGGGAAGAGGAAGCCGCATGGTCCTTGTAGAAATCTCGCTCAAGAAACTTGGCTGTGAAAAGAAGGAGCGAGCTGGGATAGCAGCTCAAGGGAGCATAGACTCAGAGAGCCTTAAGAGACAGTAGAAAACCTCCTAGGGAGAGGGGGCATTCGTGAGAACAGAGGCCCTGAGGAGGTCGGAGGGGTGAGAGCTGAGACAGGTGAGGGAGCTCCCCTCTTGTGCAAGGGTATCAGGTGGTTGCAGCTGCAAGATGGAGTTAGAGAGGTGAAAGTTGTGGAACATCTCCCCTGTTATTGGCCTCTATTTTTTCTCTTGAGAAGGAAGGAAGCTAATCTGCGGAGAAGTGATTGCTTGAAGTGGTCTCTCTGCGTACCAGGTGGTATCCCTAATGGTCTCTCTGGGGATCAGAGAATAGACTGGAGCATGAAGATGTGTCAGCAGGATGAGGGGTATAGAGTCATGTGTCTGTGCAGTTGGGTAATTTTTGCAGCTGTACTCAGTGGCCATGGATGGAGAAGGTCCAAGTGGCAGGATCCATCCAGGGTTGAGGTAATTCCAGGTGGTGTGATGGAGGAAGCAGGGAAAAGCAAATCATGACGTTGAGGACAGAAAGGTTGAAGTGATGAACAGTGGCATTTAGTTTGAATGGGGGAAAAAAGAAAGACAGGAAGATGACAGGTGGGGAAGTCTTGGAGGGATCAAGGGATTGGACATTTTGCTGAGACCAACAGCAGGCAGAGTGCAGGCGAGTGACAAGGGAGCTGGGAGGAGAGAAGTTGTGACCAGAAGTTGGAATAAGGGTTTAAGATTTTGGAGGTGGGGCTCTGCAAACTGTGAAGTGCTTAGTTAGTATTACTGCCTAATGAAATAAAGTGACTACATGAAAGATTCCCCTGGCGGGACTTTAAAGCTAGATGGGAGCAGAGCAGGAATGACAAGAGGGAATGAGCCAAAGAGACAATTTAAAAATAACTCATTAGGAATTGGTAATGGATTGGATATGATGTGCATAGAAGACATCAAACATCACCTTAAGGTGATAGATTTACAGGACTGCGGTCTGTCCTTGTTTTGGAGTTGGGGAAGCTGGTAGAGAGTAAATTGTAGAAGATGTGAAGTTCACTTCTAGACCTACCACATTTCAAAAACTGGGAGCACACCAAAGTATCTTGCACCATAAGCAACCAAAATTTTAGGTCTACTGGGTGGGTAAAAGGTCATATCTACAGAGATGAACATTTAAGAGTACGGAATTAGTAAATGAAGACATGTGAGTTCTCGAAGCTCTGTACATAGAGAAAGAATGATCCAAGGATTAAGCTGCAGGAATGGGAGACAGAAAAGAAGTTATTAGAGGAGACATAAATAGAATTTTCCTGCAGGCAAGAAGAGAAAAAAGGGGAGAAGGTTTCTCAGAAACCACAGGAAGAGAATTTTTCTGGAAGAAGGTGTGAGCAACAGATGGGGTGAAAACAAGAGGAAGCTTACTCTATAAACATCAATAATCTGGCCAAGGAGGGCTGGTGATCTTGGAGAAGAGCGGGTTAGTGGAATAGTTGGGGGCTGAAGTCAGTTTCAGGGGATTCAGTGGGAAGTGAAGACATGGGAGGGGTAGATGCTCCAAGTCGTGTGACAGAAATACAAGAAGTGACGATATCAGGTCACCCACCTGAGTCCTGAGGGACACCACGTGAAAGCTATCGCTCAAGCAACCACTTGGTAAGCAGCTGTCTTCTCTTTTACCTTTCTCACAGGTGAAATGCAGAGATCAAGATTTTCATTCAGGAACCTTTGGTGGTATCCTTAATGAACCAATGGCTGATTTGATTGCTCTTCTCGGTAATGTCGTATTTCATTTCACTTTTTAAGCACCAAGGAATCTACAAAATACAGTTCTGTTTGACTCAGTGTCTCTCCTCCCTTGGTTTCTGAACCAGCTCTGAATAAGTGTGGAGTAGAAGAAAAACGGAGTTCTTAACTTTACCGCCTTTGGCTAGATGTTCCTCGGGCTCGTTAAGCCCACGTTATTTCTTCTCATGGACTGAAACTCTCCCTCAACTCACCTCCTTTTCTTTTAGTGGACCTTGCGACACATCCAGCCACACTCAAGAACCATAGCATAGAGACCCTTCTGCAGAAGCATCCAGAGATGGTGCCAAAGAATATCAACGGCACGTGGCTTCGTTTTTGCAGGTTGCTGTGGCCCCAAGTGGCCCAGAGCCTCCAGTGAGTTCGCTTCTTGCCCCCTGCTCCTGGCTTCCTGTAGAGTGCCTGGTGTGTACAGGCAGCAGTTACGTGTGTGTGTGAGTGTGTGAGAGTGTGTGTTTCCAGAGAGCCAAGTGCCCGCCTTGATTCACCCTGTCGCTCTCGCCTAGGTCAGGACTGCCCAGCACCCGGGGGGCTCCTGGGATTGAAGGAAGCTTCATTTTCAGCGCCTCACCTGCAGGAGGCCCTTCCGCAGTCCTGGCAGGGACACTGAACTTTTGTATTCATAATTTTGGTGTTCTTTTTTAAAAAGAGCTTCTCAGGTTACATGAGCTTCAGACTCCACAACACTTGGCTCTGTCTCACCTGGCACCAAGGGTACTTTTATGCAAATTTTACAGTGTGCCTCTTTTGGGCAAACTGCCCATAAGCATGCCCTCTATGGGATCAATCAGTAAAAGTCGCCACTTTTTCCTTGTTCACACAGCTCCAACCTCAGCCCCACCCGCTTGCATCCCTCTGGTCTCGGCAGGGACTTGGCAGTCTAGGACAGCCTGCAGGGCCAACTTGGTGGGAGGTCTCCTGAGGGTCTTCTGCAACATCTTTAGATGTAGAGCTTCCTGCTCCTTCATTCCCCAAATTAAATAATGAAATTTTATCTATCTAGCTATTATCTATCCATCTTTATTATCAATCATCTACCTATCATCTGTCATCTCTCTACCTATCATCTATCACCTAACTATTCTATCTATGATCTATTTTATCTATCTATCATCTACTATTCTATTTTTTATTTTTAAAGATTGGCACCTGAGCTAACAACTCTTGCCAATCTTCCTCTTTTTTTTTTCTTCCCAAAGCCCCCCAGTACATAGTTGTATATTCTACTTGTGAGCGCCTCTGGTTGTGCTGTGTGGGACACCGCCTCAGCGTGACCCTGGTGAGTAGTGCCATGTCTGCACACGGGATGCAAACCTGCAAAACCCTGGGCCACCAAAGCAGAGTGCATGGACTTCACCACTCGTCCATGGGGCCGGCCCCTGCTATTCTATCTATTGATCTTTCATCTATCTATTGATCTCTCTCTCTATCTATCTACCTATCATCTACCCATTCTCTCTATCCATCTATCATATTCTATTCTTCTACAGCCTTCTAGTTTTCCTAGAATATAACTCTTGGACTATATTTTCCTTGCTTGACACTTTCAGACAGAATACAACAAGCCCTTTTCCTTTAAATTGTTTCCAGAAGAATTCAGATAGCTTGCAACTTAATATTTTTTGGGGGAAAAAAGGTTAATTCTCCATTCTACCAGAACTAATTTTGTCTTCCCTAGGAATGGCATCATCAAATCTTTATAGCGCATTTTGATTTCCCCCAAGCATGCCTGCTCCATAACATCCTTTTAGATTGTATGGTTTCACCCAGGCACGGAATTCCATTTAGCCCCACAAATGCATATTACTCCACTAGGAAAAGTCAGACCAGGATCGTGAACATAACAAAAAGCATGTGGCTTCTCTTTCTTTAATTTTTGAAACAAATCAAATAAGCAATCCATAACAATGTGATTCTGGATTGTGCCCTCTGTGTGGTTTTAATGTGGTTTGTCCAAATACGTAAGGACAGAAGCTGGAGCTTTAGCACTGATCAGATGGCGAGCAGGAATTTTGCTTGCTGCCATGCAGGGCTGTTGTGGAGAAATCCCGATAGCATCTTGACTCCCACGCCCCACCTCAGCCACTGCAGATTAGGATGTCATGTCGTGGGAGAGCCGGTTCTGTCCTGTCCTCACCCTGCAGGCTGGCAGGTGCCCTACACATCAGTCAGGAAACTGGAAACCCAGATGGCAGCGCTCCTACTGCTGTGTGACCATGTGCAAATCTTCTAACCTCTCTGTCCTTCAAGTTCCTCATCTGCATGGTCCTGATAACCACCACGATTACTAATAGGTCTCAGATGTTTGTTGAGTGCCAACTATGTAAAAGGCATGAGAATCTCCACTAGGCGGTACAAAGAGGGAGTACAAAGGAAAATCAATAAGTTCCCTGGCTTCAAAGAGACTTCAGTGCAGTGTGCCGGGGAGGCAGGAGGTGGGAGGTGGAGGTCCTCATGTTCACACAGAAAGCTCTCACCTCTGTGCTTTCCTCTTGGCAGACATTTCCCCACTCCCTGCACTCTCCTAAAAGCCACAAAGTAGAAAAGATCACTGGGTCGAGGGCGTTTGTATAAGCACCAAATATCCGACATTATTAAAATGTTAAAATTCCAAGAAGACTCCCGGGGATGGACGATTCCGTTTCCTGTGGACAGTTCTCAGAAGCGGCCCCCTCTGCCTCCCATGCATTCCCCAAGCCTGGGCTCCTGGCCGAGGCAGCCGTGGCTGTAGAAACTACCTCACATTCACAGGATCGTGGTTTCAAGTGGAAAATGAGAAGGGGGAGGTGGAGTCTTAAGCATCCTGTTTTCATACAAATGCACTCGATATTGAAGCATTAGGGCAAAGAAACACCAAAATAGGAAATGTGGAGCAGAATTATCTGCATGGCACACATGGCGGCGTTTTCCCATTGCCACTCCTTGATGGAGGTTCCGTCAGGGCAGTGTGCTGCGCAGCCCCTGGAGCTCTCTCTAATCAAACTTCTCTGCAAGTGAATGTAAAGGGAAGGAAAAGGAGGGCATTATGCGTCTCTCCTGTCAGGATGTGTGTCTGCTGGCACAGCCTGAGCCAGCAGCTGGGACGGCTGCTTTGTGTCCTGAGAAAACAGGGTCCGAGGTTGAAACCTACACCGAGGACCGGGCCGGGCAGTTCTACGGGAGATGTGCAGTGACATGTGGAGAGCCCGCGCTGCTCAAATCACAGCCTAATTTGCTAATGACATCTGAATCCCCCCAACACACAAACACGCACACTGTGGTAATGTCTGGTAACACCAGATAAAATGACAGGAAAAATGTCACAGCTCAGTGTCATAAGATGGACACTGAGCATCCTGGCTACTAGAGTATTTCAGCTCTTCATTGTTGTCAAACTGGATGTTTCAGACATGCATCTCTCTTCTCACCACTGAGACTGTGCCTGTCGCATCCTACTCAACCTCTGAGGCCCCACTGTGACGCTGTCGTCTTCCCTGACGCTTCCTCCTTGGCTGGTTCACTGCGTGCTCTCTGTGCTCCTGACAGTTTGCCCCTCTTTATAGCTCTTTGCACGTGGACCCACAGTTATTTCTTTACCCTGCATCTTTCTGGCTGGTTTGTGAGCAGGGTCTGTCTCTTATTCATCTTTGCAGCTCTGTTCTTGCACACAAGAATGCCAGCAGAAGTTGAGGGACATACACTAAAGGGAAGACTTAGTGATTGTATTATTGGCGGTACTTTGATGTTTTGTTTTGATTTTGGTGAGGGTGCTAGAGGATGGACTGCCAATCAGTGCCAGTCCCAATCACTCAGAGCTCAGCTTATTATTTTGACTTGAATTTTACTAATGGGTTTGTGTCATTTACTCAACATACAATATGCTTGATTGGGCTAAATGAGGAGAATTCCATAACTCAGGACCTGCAGGGAGGCTGATGTATGCACAGCAATCTGCAGTACTGTCCCCAAAGTGGGGTTACACAAGTCTGGGCAAAGTCCTCGGAGGACCAGGAAAGGGGGCCCAAAGAGGATGTGGTTGAAAACCAGAACAGTGAAGACGTTGCTTCACATTTTGCTGCCTTAGCACCCTCAGACCTCAGGGCTTTGCTGTCTATGATCATTCTCAGAGTGCTGGGAAGCCCGTTATGTATCGCACTACTGCCATCCCCACTACTGTAGATTTTGGTAGAGGGTTTACCTTGGCTTTAATTGTGTCTCTACAGAGCCAGCCACCTGGTGGTCTGCTCATGTCGGGTCACACTTGATATTTAGACTTTTGTGGTCAGAGACAGTGCTGTCCTGTGTATTCATTCCTCTGGGGCCTAGAACACAGCAGGTGTCCAATAACAACGTGGAATGCATCCATCCTCTTAGAGCCTTCAACTCTGTGCTTTGTAATTATCGACTTTAACAGAAAGATTTGAAAATACAGTGCTTCACAGTAATTTTCTGATATTGTCAAGAAAGACTGTCACATCAAGAATATGAAGCATATCTTTATGAAGTGTCTTTACTTGAATGGGGATTAAGTTGGCTGCCCTGGAGACATTTTCCTGTCATTTCTGTTAGTCTACTTGCTAGTTGCATTGTATCTTTGATAAGTACTTTCTCAAGATAGCGAGCAGTGTTTGCTAAATCTTGACTTCTGTTTCTTTTATAGATAGTCACTGATGATTTTCCCCCATTCCTATTGGTCCAAAACTCTTTCATAAAGAACAGATTTGAGTATCTTCTTATTCACTGTGGAGGCTTTTGTGGTTATGATGTATATCTCATAGACTAGACCTCAGGGATATTATGCTTTTGATTAAAGACGAGTATTTATTATATTATTATGGTGTGTGTAGGAGGAGAGAAATTGAGAAGGAATGATGATTTTCAGTTTCTCAGGTATGTATATATATATAAACATATATATTGAAAATTTTTTGGGCTGGCCCGGTGGCGCAGCGGTTAAGTTTGCACGTCCTGCTTCTCGGTAGCCCGGGGTTCGCTGGTTTGGATTCCAGGTGCAGACATGGCACCGCTTGGCAAAAGCCATGCTGTGGTAGGCATCCCACGTATAAAGTAGAGGAAGATAGGCACGGATATTAGCTCAGAGCCAGTCTTCCTCAGCAAAAAGAGGAGGATTGGGAGTAGTTAGCTCAGGGCTAATCTTCCTCAAAAAAACTTTTTTTGTAATGAACATGTGTTACTTTTTAACTCATGATAAGATAAAACTAAAAAAAAAAGAAGCTTGTTTATGATATAAAGGTGGAGTTGAGAATTGGGATATAATGCAGGTAAGTCATACCCAATGGAATTTACTGCAGAGTCGTGTGTTTTCATCCCTCCATTGACAAGGTGGACATTCACGCGGGTCCAACTCAGGCTGAGTTTGTCGGGTGACCAGCTCTTTCTTCTGACCATCACCTCTGGGATGTGAGTTGCTGCCAGTGGCTCTGCTGTGGGGACCAGGGCCGGTCACAAGGTCTGCTGCAAGCCCAGGAGAGTCCCCCATGATCCTGCTCCAGGGCCAGAACATCAGCACACTGGTGACTCCATGTGGCTTTGTTTCCTGTGTGTATCTTGTAGGTAGCCTTGTAGACTCATCGGGTCATATTCTGATCCCTGGAATCTATGACCACGTGGCTCCTCTTACTGAAGAGGAAAAAAAAATGTACAAAGCCATTGACCTGGACCCAGAAGAATACCGGAATAGCAGCCAGGTTAAGAAATTTCTGTTTGACACCAAGGTATGGTCACAAGTTGATGGATAATCTGAACGAAGAATGATGGTAACAAATATTTTCCCAAGGCTTAATTTACTGTGTCCTGTTTATCTGCACATCTTAGAACTGAAAGCAGATGTTAATTCCAAGGCGGACTTTCACTTTCAAGGCCACTTCCCTGTGGTCTAGATCAACCAGACCTTTATCTGGGGTCCCACTGGCACTGGATTTAGGCACCTAACCATGGAGCAATTGCTTATTTCACAGATGTGTTTTTCCAAATCAGTTTTCTGGACTCAATCCTAAGCCGGTCTTCAGCCGGTGAGCTGGGCTCCCTAACTGTTTAAAGATTGAGAATAGTCTGAGGTTATTCCAGCTCCATGACCCTAATTGTTCATTTTTATAGGCAAAACCAAGAGACTTAGGGGCTAATCTGTAGACTGCTACGTCACTGCTGCCTTGGTATAATAAGTAGACCCAAAGCCGAAAGCGTTACTGGCAAATTTAGATTTTTTCCTTTTCCCTTCTCCTCCTCCTCCTCCTCCTTTTTAAAACGCTTGCCTGCTAGGGTGTTTGCTAGCTATGGCTGGTTCCTGGGGGAACAGCCAAGAGAGGGAGAAGCATGCAGAAGAGAGTGATAGAGTTTATTATCATGAAGTGTAGCTCTTCCTCAGACTAGCTCTACAGTGGCCATAGCAAGATTGAAAACTGGCTCAAACATCTGCGGAGTTCTTTGAAGCCTTCTGAAAAATAAAATGCATTTAGCACACAAATTATCATTGCAATGACTGGGATAGAAATTTATAACTGAACCCAAGTTTCTGAAAGGGCCCCTTTGCCATCTATTAACTGCAAACTTCAGCGACGAGGGGCCCTCGCCAATGGGAGTGGCTTGGGCAGGCGAAGGCAGCAGAGATCTAGTGTCCTGAGGGGAAAGTCCGCTTGTACTGTTTGTCCAGACATATCTAAGTGAGGTGATAATTAACTTGCCATTAACCGTGTCACAGATGTACAGAAATTGGTGATGCAAGCAATACAATTCAAATGAGTTTTAATTAAACATTCTTTCATATAATAAAATACTTTTATTTCAATTTAGGAGGAAATTCTAATGCACCTATGGAGGTACCCATCTCTTTCTATTCACGGGATTGAGGGCGCCTTTGAGGAGCCTGGAGCTAAAACAGTCATACCTGGCCGAGTTATAGGAAAATTTTCAATCCGTCTAGTCCCTCACATGAATATGTCCGTGGTGGAAACACAGGTAACAAACGTGCATTGTTCTTCTGTCCAGCAGCGCCATTCCTGAGAGCCGGATGCCACACAGTAGTGAGCAGCTCAGTTGTTAGCGTTGAAGTATCATTTTTTTCCAATACAGAAGGGACTGGAACAAATGTCAAGAAACCAATAGGATTTTTGTTGAGTAAAAATCTCTTTTCTCAATTATATGCAATTACAGTCATCAGACCAATAACCATTTGGAGTTGGAGTGATGGGAAATTTTTAAAAATTAAATGGTGGATAAAAAGGCAAGATTGGTTTTACACACAGGCGTAGAAGCTACTTGTCTATGGCTGGAGTGAGCCAGAAAATCTTTACCCCCAGCATTAGTTTGTCCATGATGTCTGAAATCAACCCCCTGAAAGCAGCCACCTTAATGAAAATGTTTGTGTCTGGAAGGAGGTGCATGTCTAAAGTATCGACCTATCATCAGTGTACCTCAAGTTGAACAGAAGGTAGACTCCGAAGAAGGGAGCTCAAGGAATACCTCGGCGGCCTCTCTCCATCCACTGTCCACTTTTATCGTTGTCTTAGCGCTAATTACATTCTCAAAGATCCTCCTTCCCCTCTGCGTCCCTCCGTTTTTTTCTTTCCATCTTTCCTCCCTCCTTCCCTTTCTGGATGGACTGTTGCTCCTCCTCACAGCACACACTTTACATGAGCGCAGGACGGTCTTCGTCTTGCTCACAGCTATGTCCCAGCACCTAAAACAGTTCCTGCCACGTAACAGGTGTGCCTTAAATGTTTGTTGAAGGGATGAATATTTCAGAGTATGGAGTTTTTCTCGGGTGGATTTCCATAGTGGCAATGAGAATGGAGCCCAGGGGAGAGAGAAAGATGCTGTCAATGAGCCTCCTTCACAGCTTAGCGTGCAATTGCTCCCACTTTTTGGAAATTTCCAAGTGTGTAATGTTCCCAAAATATTCATTAAGATACTAAGTCCAAAAAGAGGGATATTCAAATTGAGAAGTTCTACTTGTATGGTGTTTCATAATTACCTCAAACATTCATCATATTCGTATTACCCATAATATCATTCAAGGTTTCATAATTACCCAAATTCATAATAACCCAACATTAACAGTGAGACACTGTGGTCGGGGAGGGGTGGGGGACAGGACTGGGATTGGAGGTTCTTGGGAGGGGTGGGAGTGAGAGCAAGTGTTTCTCACACTGGGTGAAGCTCTCAGTCCTGGAGACCCTGCTCACTCAGCGTCCTCCCTCTGGAAGAGCTAAGGGAAAATCAGAACACTTGAATGCGTCAGCTTGGGATTCCAATCAGTTTCTTGATACAAGGCTATGAGAGTAACTCAAAATTTTCTCTTACAACTGAAAATGTTACCTTTTAGGTAAAGCAGCATCTTGAATATATATTTTCCAAAAGAAATAGTTCCAACCAGATGGTTGTTTCTATGGCACTAGGACTACACCCATGGATCGCAAATATTAAAGATAATCAGTATCTTGCAGCAAAAAGAGCCATCAAAACAGGTTAGACTGATGCTATTTTGATTGCTGGTTTACACTGGGAACAAGGGCTGGTACCCGGTGGGGCTGTAGATAAAGCAGACACTTTTAAAACTTCAATGTGGACTCTCCTTTTATATGGGCTGCATTACTGATGGTAAACGGTGTGGTTCAGGGCTCTTTATACACACTGTCTCATGAATCCTCCCAACAGCCTTCCCCAGGGTGCAGATTAAGGTGTGAAGAGATTAAATAATTTGCTGGAGGGCACTCAGCTAGAAGTAGCAAAGCCAGGTTCAAATTCACATTCTGGAGACCTGAATTTGGGGAAAAATGATGGACTTGGAAACCTCCCAACCCTCCTTCTGCAAAACTCATGGAAATATTGGCCGATACACAAAAACTTTTAAAAGCACAGCTGAACTTGCACGAAAGTAAAGGAAGTCCTCTGGGGTTAAAAATGAAGAAGCTAAGCTTTAGTGGAGCGAGCAAGCTGGCACTCGGCTGCCCTGCGGGACTTGCTCTTCCTGGTCACAGAGGTCTGGGTTTAATGGCCTCCAGACCTCCCTGGAGCACTAACTCTCTGTGTCTATGAGCACAAGGGACACGAACATCAAAAATTAGAGGACAAGTCCAACACTGAGAGCCGTACTTTACACAATCATCCCCCCTGCCCCCAATTGTAGCAGTATTTTACCGGTAAAATTTGGGGGTGAAGAAAAGAGGAAGAAGAGTTAGGAAGTTAAATGGAATGCCAGCTGAAGAGAGATGTGTGATTGAAATGTCAAGTTCAACGGTAAAGACATGAAATACAGGAAAATGCAGGAATGCATAAGGCACCTTTTTGTCTTTTTGTGTGCTAAACCAGTTCTGCTAACAAAGCAGTCATGTGCCACATAACGAGTTTTTTGTCAACAATGGACTGCATGTACGACAGCGGTCCCATAAGATTAGTACCATATAACCTAGGCGTGTGGTAGGCCATACCACCTAGGTTTGTGTGAGTACACAACAATTAAACCACCTAACAATTAAATCACCTAATGATGCATTTCTCAGAATGTATCCTGTCGTTAAGCAATGCACGAGTGGACAATATCTTTATTCACATTCACACCTTGCTCTGTGGATACAGAAGACATGGCATGTTCTCTTTTGTGTCTTCATTTTATTTTTCATTCCCACTCCATCTCTGGCACCTTTACCTATAGCCTAGGTTTCAACTCCTCTCTTTCTAGACCCTAGGATACCCATTAAAACTGTTTCATGGGATACCTTGAAAGTTGAGTACAAACACTGCAACATTCAGGTAATAGTTGAGTACAGCGATTTATTCATATATTGGTTACAAAAGAAACACAAAACACCAAAGAAATGTGTTCCTAATATTTAATATTAGTGTTTCTAATATTTAATTCATGAAGCAACCATAAAAGTAGGTAGGTACATCTTCTTGTGGTACTCTGGCCAAAAACACATGACCTCTTCCAATCGAGAAAAAACGTCAGACAAACCCAAATTGAGGGACATTTTACAAAACAACTGATCAGTACACTTCAGCAGGGTCAAGTTCAGGAAAGACAAGGGAAGACTGAGAAACAGTCACAGACAAGAGACTAAGGAGCAACGACAAAATGCAGTGTGGGATTCTGCATTGGATCCTGGTACAGCAGCAGGGAAAGAGTGAAATTCAAATAAAGTCTGAGTCTAGCTAATAATATTATCCAATGTTAATCTCCTATTCTTGATAACTGTACAATAGTTATATAAGATGTTAACATTAGGGAAAGCAGAGTAAGGAATACATGAGAACTCTATACTACTTTTGCAACTTTTCTGTAAGTTTAAAATTAGTTTAAAATATTATTTAAAAATATTTCTTAAAAGTAAATAATAGTAAATAAGGCAACCACAGTTTTCTTCTTGGCTGTATTGACTATTTTAGAATATAAATTGCATAATATCAAGACGCTTACTTATCCCAGGCACCAAATTTAATGGTGAAAAAAAAAAAAGAAAGAAAGATAAAGTAAACACGACATTTGCGGAGATCACTGGGGGTAGTCTTCTCATTAATTTATTCAATGCCTTCTTTTCTTGTGTTTCAGTGTTTGGAACAGAGCCAGATATGATCCGGGATGGATCAACCATACCAATTGCCAATATATTCCAGGATGTTATCCAAAAGAGTGTGATGATGCTCCCACTGGGCGCTGTGGACGATGGAGAGCACGCGCAGAATGAGAAAATCAACAGGTTAGCGGGTTCCTGAGGGGGCTGATCTCTCAGTGTGCAAACCACAGGGTGTCCCCATCAGTAACCTTCCAACATGCTGCATATTTTAGATTGAATTTATGTCATCAAATCTTCCTGTTTAAATTGTAGACTATTTTTCCTCCATTATTTGAATGGAAATAACAGTTTCTCTTTATTTCTTCTTTTGTTAGGTGGAACTACATAGAGGGATCCAAATTATTTGCTGCCTTTTTCCTAGAGATGGCTAAGCTGCATTAACAATGACGGGAACCTTCCAGCTTACATCTGAGCTGCTGACAGATCCCCTCTCTCACACCCCTGGACAGGAATAGAATCTAAATATCCAGAGAATTTCAGTCCAGTAAATAATATTTTCCCTCTTTAATATGTGTTTGGACATTTGGACCAGTAATAAAATATTTTAAAGGTACAGACACTGGAAATGGTTTAATGTCTCTGTTGCACACCTCTCTAAAGTCACAGCTACCTTCAACAACTTGATTTCCCCAAGTCTGGCCGCAGTAGTCCCTGGACTGGACTCATTCTGCCCTTCCAGCACAAGGATGGTTCTTTGGTTAGACTTCTCTTGCCATTTGATTGGTGGAATTGCTCTAGTTTGCTGTGTCCTGAGGTGCTCATGACACATAATCATTCATCCACTGACTGTCAGTACTTATGTCACTGTTGCTTTCACCACACATTACTTTTATACTGTTAATAAAACATTGGTCTACCCCACCGACTACCATGATTTCCCTGTGGGTTCATTTTCAGATGAGTTATTGAAGCGTGATACATATTAACTTCTTGCCTCCCCTTCACCTTTTCCTTTCTTGAAAAGTTTTGAAACAGAAATGACCAATATTCACATTCTTATGCCATTTGGGATTCCTTGTGAGAAGATGAGTATATCTTTATTCTAAGCCTCTTTACCTTTGCTGTGAGTGGTGCCAGCCCACTGCCCCTCCTGCATCCTGTTCTGTCTCACTACCCCATCGGTAGAGGCCACTCTCCCTCCGACACCTGCGCACATGTAAATTCACCACAGTAGAATCAGTCCTGATGGAATTTCTCTCACCCCGTTGGAATTTTACTCAGTGACTACATCTAAATTGTTCAGAGCTTTAAATAGCATCAATTTTAGACAGAGAACTGATCAACCCTGACATCAGTAACACATCCCAAATTTAAAGCCATCAGCTCAGGTTGCATTCATCAGTCATTTTAGTCGACCATCTTGTTTGGCTCGACTGGATTTGATGGTGTAAACAAATAACCAAAAGCATGTAATTTTTCTACAGCTAAGTATAAGTAAACAAATCACTTCAATCTTTATGAATTCACTATTTAAATAGCATTAATGGAGAAGAATTTAAGGGTTTATTAAAAATGTTTCTCTTATGATTCCAAATAAAAACAAAGTGCAACATATTCCATCTCTTTGTGGGTTCTTGAAATGTCAGTTTTAAAGCTTGCTGCATCACGTCTAAAATGGCTGGATCATGGGGCCAGCTTACCCTGCCTCTTGTCACAGAAACGGGACCCACCTGTGGCATCAGCCTCGCTGAGGCATCCATAAGGAGCCACTTCTTCTCTGGTGCTGGCCAACATCAAATCCTCTTGGTTAAATATTCGCAGGTGTTTGGTACTCTTTACTATTTAAGCACAGTCCATGCTCGCCAGATTTGGTTGAATCTTGTGAGGTTTTCAGATTCCATGGATCTACCTGATGTATTTGGCAGAGTTCCCAAGGACTAACTGTGCAGGAGGTTTATGATGCCAATTTGTATTTTAAAAAGGGTATTCATAGTAGTCAATTAACAAAAGTTGGTTGTAAAATATAACCATTTCTGAGCAATGGAACATCAGTTTTACCAAGTCACTAAATAATAAGATGTATTTGCTGATCTTCATTCCTGCTGAATCTCTGAGACCTGCAATGTCTCGATTAATTATTCAGCTGCCACGAGGTGAGGAGGGGAGGAGGACGAATGAGGTCATTGAATCTAGGAGATTCCAACCCTGGGATGCCTGAGTCCAGAGCCGTGGTTTTCTGCCTCCCCAGGTCATGATGGGTCTCCCCAGCTCTCATTGATGGGTCCCCATTTTCTACCCAAACCCAAGCCATGTGGCTACCTGGGTCTTGCTGTGGTTTGGCAGCCAGATAGGAAGTATTTTCCATATAGATTACATTCAGAGGGACGACAGAAATCTTCCCAGTTATTAGCCAGAAGACCAATTAACCAGTAATAAGAAGACAAAGAGGTTGGGGATAGAGACATTTAAGTATTTGCTTTAAAAAATTTTATCAAAGAAGCATATGCACATGGATAAAGATGACCACCCAGTATACTTATTGGGAGTATATAGTGACATGATCAGGAGGGGACGTCATCGTATTGAAGGAGGGCAACATGTCAGGTTTGGGACTGTCCAGGTTTGGACTGTCAATTAGATTTGGTAGATGCTCTTATGGAAGATAATGAGGACCAGGAATGTTCTTGGTTTTATGTTGTATTCATAAAAATAAACCTTGTGTGAGTGTGTGCTAGACAGTGCAAGAGCCCTGTGGTGACACACATTCTCTGCACTTGCAGCTGGAGGAGGGCAGTGGGCCACAGACACACAGAGAACCTGGTCTGGGCTTCTTCTCGCTCCACATGTTCATTCCAGTGCATCCCTCCCTCAGCCTCTGTGTTAGCCAGACACCAGCCCAGCCCAGCCCAGTCCCCTCTTCTGAGAACTGGACCTTGATCCTCCTGCATATTTAATATCTGAAACTCGACTCGTCCAAAATGGAAACTTTCATACATCGTCTCGAATCTGTTTCACCCTGGTATTCCTTGCCTTGGTAAGTGGGCCACTGTAATCCTGAATCTTCTTTGACACTTCCCTCTCTTTCAAATTCAATTCGATATCAAAACCAGTTACTCCATTTCTCAAAAGCCACCACTTCTTCCATTTTCACCATCACCTCCCATAGCCTGTAAGCCATATCCTCTATAACTTTTGCTGAGTTATTGCGAAAGCCCCTACCTAATCTCTTTGCTTTCATGGCAGCCCTCTCCAATGTATGTGTCACATTGCAGACTGCACGTCCCTTTTCTCCTGCTTAAAATCCTACAGCGGCCATAGGGTCTTAGCATGAAGCCCAACATCGCAATAGGATCTACGAGTCTGGCCCACTCGGTTCTCTGCTTACTCCTCTAACCTCACTACATATGTCCCAACAATCCCATCCTTCTAAGCCTTCTGGTTTCTCAAATGAACTGAGATCTCACCTGCACCAGAGCCTTCTCTGATTCCCTCCCCAGCCCTGGAACACTACCTGTCCTCTTGGTCAAGCTAGTCCCCCCACAACGCCAGACTCCACGTTATTCTTCAGATCTCAGCTTAGTTGCACTTTTTCAGGAAAGACTTTTCTGATTCCTCCTGAGCGAGTTAGGTGTCCCTATTCACCATCACAATCTCCATAGTTCCACTGTAGCGTTTAAGAACATATTTTAAGAAACTACCAGCTCCCCTTCTAGACTGTAAATCCCTGAGTGCAGAGACTGTGTCTGTTTTGTTTATTGTGCTGCTGCCAACGTTCCAGGCATGTTGTAGGTTTTCAGGGAACATTTATATGATAAACTAATGGAAACCTCAAGACTTGTTGGTCCGTCTACAGGATGCCACGCATTCCCAAAATTTATGTACATCTACCTTAGTAGACTTACAGCTTCATAACATCAGATTCCATTTCCAACTAATCTCTGCACTTCATGGGCCCCGTGAAGTCCATTGCACACAGTAGGTGCTCAATATTGCTTACTAAAATCTTCCTTTTGACTCTGCGGCTGCATTTTTGGGGTGTCCTCTGCCAAGCCTGCTGTCTCCTGCCTGGACTTCCATATGCTCTTCACCTCACATCATTCCTGGTTGAAATCATCTTGAGAGCAGCTAGTACTGGGAAAAAAGCACATAAAACAAGTCATGCTGAGGTGCCACTGACTGATAACAGCTCCTGGGGATCCTCCCAGGCAGCGCTTGTGACGTCACAGGGGTCATGCCTAAATTCTGAAGTCACAAACTGGCAGCCTAGGAGCCCCATGGGCTCCCTTCACTCTGTTTCCTGCAGCCTTCACAATGTCCTAAGTACTTCTGAGATGGACGCCAGCATTTCAGAATCGGCAGACTTCACACAAAGGATTTCTCTTGAGCAATCACAAGGTTGGGTAACACTGACCTGCCATTCCTGGAGAGTGATGATCAGCTGAGCTGAGAGGCTGTGCTAAGCACAGTGCCTGGCCCATAATACGTGCTCAACAAACTTCTGAGAAGTGGAATAAGAAGGAAGCTTATGAAAGAAGAAGACAATGCTATTCTATCCGGCTTCTCACTTCTACTGACAGCTGCTATCACTTAAAAAACAAGTCCCCAAACAAACACCATTTTATGATAGGGCCAAATGATCTTTAAATACTATACTATTTTAAAAATCTAGTTTTAAATGTATTCAATTTATCTAGCTATTATTTTTAACGTTATTTTTAAATTCAAGTTTGAATATTAATTGAACATGTAATAGCTAAAGAATTAAATAATGATTTGAGGTCTTGATTATACAAGATGAAGTAAAACATTTGTTCGTGTGATAATGTACCTACAGTTAGCTCTACTATGGTTGAGTTACCTATCTGTTATACCACTGTCTTTCGTGACAACCACCAGTACAACTTAAACCAGGGCCTCACACTTGCACACATTATTTCTGTTCTTTTACTGACCAACCCTGTGACATCTACATTCTAGTTTGTAGCCCACTTGGCAAGTAAGAAAGGTAATCTTCCTCTTCACTATATTGAAAAGAACTTTCCTCTTTAGGAAACAAGCACTGGGAGGCAGAGGCTAGGTTTGGTATATTTCATGCTTTGCTCAGCTATCCAAAGGCTCAATCAATTGATGAAGTACGGAGACAGAAACACAGGGGATTTTCTGAAGCAAAGTGATGTATTTTTTTTCCCAGCACAATGTGGAAGAGAATGGATGGTAGGTGTAATGACTATAATTTCTTAGCAGTCATGATAAGTAAATAAATGCTTCTGAACTTTTTTAGTTTGGGTAGATTGAAGAGAAAAAACTATCATTACATGGAAAAATTTTATTTAAAAACATTATTCTAGTGTAATTTCTTACTCAGAATGAAAAAAGATGTCAGAGAAATTATGCCTCTGACTATAATGGAAAGTATGAAGTTTTAAATCATCTCACCTCCCACACTGAAATTCATCAAAACAGCATTCCAAGAGAACTTAGATTTAAAATTTTAGTGTGGGTGGTTAAGTGTTCATAGCATATTCTCACTGTTATTGTAGGTAGGCATATGAATGTAATGGCAGAAAATGTTAACTTAAAGGAAATTAGAACTTTAAAGGGCACTGTTCAAGTAAATTAGTCATCAAAAATGGTTAGTCACCAAAAATGACCAGTGCTTCCTTTCAAATTTTAAATAATTATACTCAAATAAAGGAGGCTATCGAGACTTTATTTAAAACCCCACTGGAAGAACCAGAAGGCAGAGTTCAAGTCTACCACATCAGCACAAAGTCAGGGGAGGGAGGTGCTGCAAAGGAGATGAAGTCACAGAGGGGAAGGACCCAGTCCTGCATACTCTGCCTAAACCTCTGGATAACCTCTGAACTGTGCACGTGTGAGGCAGAGTCAAACCTCCCAACTGAGGACAAGGGAAGTGAATGAGATTTCACTTGCTACCATGACAAGAGAGACAAAGGACGGAGGATTAACAGAGCCAAAATAATGGCCTGTTAAAACAATAACAACAACAAACAACCTCTTCAGAGGAATCTCTGAAGTATATTGCTCATATGTCTAGGATACAATTCAAAATTACTAGACATCTAAGAAAGAGGAAAACATGACTCATAATCAAGAGAAAAGAGGAAATGAATGAAGATTAACCTTAAGATGATTCATATGCCGGAATTAGCAGACAAAATGTCAAAGCAGCTATTATAACTTTGCTCAAAGACATAAAGGAAAATATGCCTTTAATAAGTGAACAAATAGAAAATCTCATCAGAGAAATAGAAATTATAAGACAGAATCAAATAGAAATTTTAGAACTAAAAGATACAATATCTGAAATAAGAAAAAAATCACTAGCTGATTTTAACAGACAAATGGAGACGACAGAAGAATCAGGGAACAGAGAAGATAGATGAATAGAAATTATCTAATCTGAAGGTCTGAGAGAAAAGAAGAATGAAAGCAAAGCAGAAAAGGACAGAGCCTCAGTGAGTTGTGTATAATATCAAGAGCTGTAATATATATTTAATTGGAGTTCAAGAGAAAAAGAGAGAAAATGGAGAAGAAAAATATTTGGAGAAATAATGGCCGCAAATTTTCCAAACTTGGTGAAATACATAAATTAACAGATGTTAAAAGCTCAGAAAACCCCAAGCAGGATAAATATGAGGAAAATCATGCTTAAGCATATCACGATCAAACTGATGAAAGCCTAAAATAAAGAGAAAAATTTGAAAGTAGCCAGAGAAAAATGACAAATTACATATAGAGAAACAGGAAAGGGAGGAAAGATCTGAATGACCTCTGCTCATCAGAAACAAATGGAGGCCAGAAAACATGGAAAGATATCATCTTTAACAAACACCTCTTGTGGGCAGCAGATGGGGCTAAGATATTCTTTTTAATCCATTCTGGCAATCTCTTCACATTAAATGGAGTATTTAATCATTAATATTTAATGAAATTATTAATGTAGTTGGATTAAAGTCTTTTCACTTTACTATTTGTTTCCTATGCTTCATTGATAACTTTCACCTATAACTCCTTTTGGAAATTCTTTAAATTATGTAAGAAAATAAAGGAGAGCAAGATAAAAAGTGAGTGAAAAAATAGGAATTGTTGTTAGTGCCATAGAATCAATTCCAACTTCTAGCGACCCTGTGTACAGCAGAGTGGAAACCTGCCTGGTCCTTTTGTGCCATCCTCTCACCGTCTACTGCTATATCAGACAACGCTCCACTGCTATTCATAGGGTTCTCATGACCAACTGCTTGGAAGTGGCCAGCTAAATCCTTCTTCCTAGTCTTAGTCTGGAAGCTCCGCTGAAACCTTTGTCCACCATGGGTGACCCTGCTGGCATGTGAAATACTGATGGCATAGCTTTCAGCATGACAGCAACATGCAGCCGCCACAGTGTGACAACTGACAGGTGGGTGGCGTACTTCCCTAACTAGGGAATGAACCTGGGCCACGGTAAACAATAAAGCAAATATGGTAAAATGTTGACAGCTACAGAATCCTCATCTGGAGAAGACACAGGAGTTCTTTGCACTTTTCTGTCATTTTTTAAGTCTGAAATTATTTCAAAATAAAAAATTATAAAGCAAAAAGATGTCAGAAATTAAATGCTCTCTAAATTCTAGTTTAGCGTGAATGATTAGATTGTAAGAAGAAAATTAAATCTATTATTCTTGCATTTTTTTTATAATTGGGGAAAACTCTCCATCACAAAGTCAAAACTGCTCTTGCATCTGTCGGATGTTTGGTGCAGGCTGGGCGGGAGAAGCAAAAGCGAAACTCAACAGTAGTTAATCTAAGGCAGAACTCCGGAGATAGGGCATCAGAGGAGTGAGAGTATACACTAGACAATATTATTCACTGCTCTTGGCCTTGGAAGAGAAGATTCTGGTTTGAGTTCCTGTCTAAAGAAACAACATAACACAGTGCAGTGGTTCCCAGCCTTTGCTGCACATTCGAATCACCTGGGGATCTTTAAGAAGTACTAATGCTTGGGTTCCTCTTCTCCTGCCCCCAACTTTCTAATTTAATTGCTACGGGGTGTGATGTTGGCAGTGGGATTTTGCAACATTCCTGAGGTGATTCTAATGTCCAGCAACTTGGAAACCACTGGTGTAGTGGTGCAAGCATGTTGAATGGGCTCCAGATCAAATCCAGACTCCAGATTTTGCCAGTTGAATAATTCTGGGCAAGACAGGTCATCTCTCTGAGCTCTAGTTTCCTTAGCTGTAATGAAATTAGAACATGTTTATTGCAGGGTTGTTGGCAGCAAAGTGACAATATGTGTAAAGCACTTAGCATAGTGTCTGACACATAGCAGATGCTTAACACGTGCTATATTTGTTTTTGTTATTTTAATATTCTAACATTTCTTCCATTTATAAATGAGAGAGAAATCTTCTACAAATCATCATTTCTTAAAGAGGAATATTAGGAATCAACTTATTTGTGCCGCTGGGGTACATATGATGCAATTCCAAATTGGGATCTTCCTTGCTCTGCAGCTGAGGTCTGTTGCTAGGAAATGTCCAGTTACTGGAAGATGAGGCCTCCTGGCTGTGAGAACAGAGGTCATTATGCATCCTCAGTTAGTACTAGTACATCTTAAATCTCCACGGAGAAAGCTGGATGTCACATTGTCTCTGCACTTCCTTCTACCTCATCGACTGAATGTATTAAAATTAGGTACTCAAATTTATAAAGATGAAATCAATCATATTCTGTTGTAATAACTTACTTAAGCTATTGGCTTCCTACCCAGCATCCACTTTCCCCTTTCTTCCTAATTCTTATTTTGTTCATGTATCCACCCCTTTCCCACACAGCCAAGTGCTACAGGGAAAGCTCACACCTTACCACGATCCACGTAGGCCCCAGAGGTCTGAAAGCTTAGGATGGGCACAGGAGCCAATGCTGGCTGTGAGTTTGAGAACGGTTTGCTGCTGGGGGCATTTGGGAAAACTTTCTTCTCTCTGAAGAGAAAACTCATAGGAAAACAAGCTCTCTTTTCTTCTTGGGACATTTTTTCTGTCCAGGTGTGATGCCTGGAATCACTTTACCCTGAAGTTGAATCTGACATTTAGAATCAAAGAGCAGAGAGATGAAAAAAGTCTAAGTCCTTGGTACCGAGATTCGGCTACTGAGTCAATCAATGAAGCCTCCTCTACCTCTGGACTCCACGTTTTGTGAGCCGAAAAACCTTTTTATTGATTAAGTCAATGGTGGTTGTATTTCTATTATCTGCAGCTAAAAGCCTCCCGATACAAATACTTTGTGCATGTGTGTCATCCTGCAACTATTTCACATTTCCTCATTTTCGAAGCAGTGATACATTTTTAATTTGTGTAACTTTCTACAGTTTAAAAAGTGTTTTTCAAAAAACTGAGGTTATGATAGTTTACAACATTGTGAAATTACAGTTGCAGATTATTATTTGTCAGTCATCATATAGGTGCACCCCTTCACCCTTTGTGCCCACTCCCCACCCCCTTTTCCCCCTGGTAACCCTTAATCTGTTCTCTTCGTCCATGTGTTTATCTTCCACATGAGTGGACTCATCCAGACTTTGTCTTTCTCTCTCAGGCTTAATTTGCTTAACATAACACCCTCAAGGTCCATCCATGTTGCTGTGAATGGGACGATTTTGTCATTTTTTATGGCTGAGTAGGATTCCATTGTATATATATACACCGTATCTTCTTTACTCAGTCATCCGTTGATGGGCACTTAGGTTGCTTCCCTGTCTTGGCTATTGGGAATAATGCTGCAATGAAGATAAGGGCACATGAGTCTCTTTGGAATTGCTGATTTCACGTTCTTAGGATAGATACCCAGTAGTGGGATGGCTGGGTCATATGGCATTTCTATTTTTAATTTTTTGAGAAATCTTCATACTCTTTTCCATAGTGGCTGCATCAGTTTGCATTCCCACCAGCAGTGTATGAGGGAAAAATGTTTTTTTACATTAATGATCTTGTAATTTAGTCTTTGAAGTAGATATTATCACAATTATTATTACCATTTTACTGATAAGAAAAACTCAGGTTCAGAAGGTTAACAAAATAGTAGTAAACGATGAAACAAGACATCATGTCTATTTGATTCAGTCTGTTTTTCTCTATAGACTGTCATTAATCCCTTCACGTTTTCATTTCTCCATGGCACATGCCAGGAGCGAACTTCTCACCCCTCTGAAGTTGGGTGTGGCCACGTGAGTTGCCTTGGCCAATGAAATGTGAATAGGTGAGAACTATTTTACTTCTGTGCTGAAGCTTTCAGAACCCGCACGAGAGTCAGTGTCCTCTCTCCCTCTAACCCACAAAGTGGAGGTTCCAAGAGCGCGGGTCCCATGGGGGGTGTCAGGGAGTGCAGTGTCCAGCAATATCGTGCTAGACTTGAGGTGGGAATAGACTTGGGTGAGCTCTGGGATGGTTGTTAACACAGCGTTGCTTAGTCTTTCCCGACTGGTGCATTCATAGAGTTAAAAAAGCTGTAACACTTTGTTTAAAAAAAAAATTTTTTTAATTGCAGTAGCATTGGTTTATAACATTGTATAAATTTCAGGTGTACATCGTAATATACTTCAAATTCTGTGTAGATTACTTCATGTTCACCACCCCAGACCACTTTGTGTTTAAACCACGATAGTTTAATTCAGTTCCTATTAGGCATCTCCATTCTAAATTTTTCTCTTGGCAAGTTTTGTAAATTTCATGCAGGAATAGCAATTAATTGGCTAATTAGACATAAAATGTATATAGTTCTCATTAAAACAGGTTTTATATTTAGGCTAACTAAACTGTAACTCCTGATAGGCCTCTTTGATATGAGACAAACAGACATATTCAATGTTTCTCAACATTCTCTGTGTGTTTGAAAATGCTGCTTTGATATGGAGACGATGTGGGAGTGAAGTTCTGGCGCCTTGTCTGTGCAGCATCTCCCTCTTGCCAGGGAGCCTCTTTACTGGGACTACATCCTGGCCACAGGGCCAGATTAGCAGGAGCAGTGTGTGTGGGAGAGTAAGCGTGGGACATCAGAGAGGCAAACAGTCACCAAAGTTAGCCAGTACAGGCAGAACTAGGGAATAATACGTCACTTCTTTGAGCTTCATTTTTCTCATCTGTAAAATAGAAATAATATACTTATTTAGAGAGGTTATAAGGTTTGCAGCCTACTACCTGGCATTTATGGAACAGTTGGTATATTATAATTTCTTTTGTACATTTAAAAAATTTTTCTACCTGCTATATTATAAACGTGTTTACTATTCATTATCTAATGGAAATCACATACCTACTAAAAGATGTAAATCTATCAATTGCTTTATTTCCTCAAACGTGATGAGCATAGCTTTTTTTACTTACGAAGTTTCAAACCTTCACTCTGTGTTTTTCCTTTATAACTTCCTTAGACTGCAGGTGTACTAGATTTGGTAATAATACTTCTCTATCATTTAAGTTGCTTCATGGTGCGAGCAAAAGAAAACTAACTTAATAAAAGGATCTGATCCAGGCTAATGCAAGTGGAAAGTTCTGAGCGGGGCTGGCTTTGCCTGAGGCTTAAACCAGGCTGACCTGTAACCAAGAGCTCTCCACCTTCACCAGGGATCTGTGCAGCTATCCATGTCAAACATGACTCAGAGGAAACCTTGCTCTGAAGGTCACCCTTAGAATCAGAAAATTAGTTCTTAATGAGACCCATGGAAGCTCCTAACTGGAAATGAGGGATGTTTGCGTTGTTGGCGAGACGGCACCCTCACTACTGAGAGCTGAGGTGGCCCTGCTGATTGAACAGTAATGACTGTTCCATTGTTATGCTTCCTTTTGTTAAAGATGAGCAGATTAAAACTAAACACGATGAAGGCAATAACATATCAATTTGTACTGGGAAATTCCAATTCTACATAATGCTTAAGTATACTTTAATTTTTTATGATAGAAATATTACAGTAAACTCTGAAAATTTAAATGATTTAAACCATCTCTTTCACCAATGATATACCGTTTCCTCATCTTTCTTTAAAATTCCATTAGGTTCCTCCACCCCAAAAGTATTCATACTCATCGGCTACCTCTCCCTTACTGGAATTGTTGATGCGCAGGGCCACTGCTGCAAAGCATGCACCAAAGAGCGGGAGAGGCCATGAATAACACACTCATGGAGTACACCCCAATAAATCCACATGCTTGAATTCACAGTATTTGAATTTCAAAACTATGCAATTTTTTTTTTAGGTTAATTTGTGGCAGAGAAAGAACTATGACCGAGATGTTCTTATGCTGTGTCAGAGAGGGATCTGAGGATAATCCTCAAATCAATGATGCCCCCACCTCCACCCCTTGCTAATGGCTCCAACTCTGGCTCAGGAGTGTTGTGGAAATATTTACAAGGACAGATTAAGGCATGTAAAAACATTCACATTCGTCAGAAAAAAAATCCTCATCTCTGGGAGCAGTCTAAGACAGCAGGGAAAGGCATTAGCTAAAAGTGTAAGGATAAACATTTCTTTGAGAAAACTTGTCTACAATATGAAGAAACATCAGTCAATGAATAGAGAGTACGGTTCAAACACAATGGGTGGAGAAGCTCCATTTCAGAGGAAAGTGACAAGGATGGGAGCTCCAACACTGGCAGAGAGTCCAGCAGCTCTAACCAATCAACAGAAGGGATAAAATCTTTGAACAAACTAACGTATGGGCTCCAAGACTTTCCAGGAAACATTCTACTGCTGGCTCTTCTGCCTCTCAGTGCAAAAAAGTTGCTTGGCCCCCCACCCTGGGATCGCCATCCCTCCAAATGCTAGACAAGAGTTAGACAAGTGTCAGACCACTCCTGTTTTATAGCAACCTTGTAAAAATAAATTAAAATTTTATCTTGTGGTTACATAAAGGTGCAGGGAAAACAATTTTTAAAGAAGTCTCAACGTTTTATACAGATATAAAGAGTTGTCTATCTATCCATATATAGATACACACACAACTGAAAAACTCTCAGGACTTCTTTATATATAAATTTTCCTAATGAGACACAAAAAAACAGAATCAATTTTTTCCTATACTCTTGGGTTTTTCTAGAGGATTGCATGACACATATTCAGCGCTAAATAAACCATAGTTACCAACATTATTAGTATTATCTGATAGAACAAAGTCCTTCAACGAGAGTAACAGTATTAGACACTATTACTACAATACAGGAATTTTAGAAACTCTTCTACTACTAGAATCTCAAAAGAAAGGAACTTTACCCTAAATAACTCATTTAATACATGAGGAAAATGAGGTCAAATTGACTTCCTTAATGTCACATTATGATGTAAAGGTCCTCTTTCAGCAAAATAATGGATGATGGAACTGAAAAAATAAACTCAGATTTTATTTCACTGCTCAAAGGAATATGAAATGTAAATTAAACGCCCAAGGTAAGAAAGGTAGCAAGATCAATCACCCGACTGCCAACACGCTTAGTCCACACGGAGAACTGCGCTAGCTGCTGTCGGCAAGACATTTGTCACCCTGTCATACAAGACCAGCACTGTTGAAATAGATCCTGAAAGATTGTGTTAATAAGTACTACATTTTCAAGTAAACTCTAAGTAAATTTCAAGTGAACTCTTCGAAGACAGAATCTAGTTTTATTACCTTTTACTTAACCAGGCACCCAGTAAATGTTGGTTAATGGAATAAATACAACATTAACAGGCTGGTCAAGCGTTCTAAGGAAACTGTTTTCCATGTGCTTCTCTAGAACTTTTCATTACCTATCACCAAACGGAGTCAGCCTGGTGGGCTGGAACAGGCTGACTCTGGAGTTTAAAGCCGAGGTCCCCTTTTACTAGCTGTGTGATCTTGGAATGGCTATTTGACTCTTCTAAATTGCAATTTCCTACTGTGGATGACAGACATGAAAATTCACGTGAATCACAGTGAGAATTCGACCAGATAACGTCTATGCAAAATACTGCATAAAACAGTATTAAAAATGTTATCACCCGAATATTCTGATTTTTTAAAATAGAATTGAGCTGGAATCGGCCTTAGAAATGATCTGGTTTAGAAAGCCTATCATTATTATAAGGTTATGATTGTCCCACTGTAAGTTATCTTTCTAAGTACAAATCTGATTATTTAACAGATTTCCCTATGCCCGCAAGATAAAGTCAAAACTCCTTAGCAAGCCCTAGATTCACAACCTGACCCCCAGTGGGATACTGCTGCCCATCTCTAGACACAATGTCTTTCTCACTGCACTTTTCAAGCGGTGGTCTTCCCTCCTAGATTGAGAGTTTTCAGACAGTCCACGCTCGTGCTCGTGTAAGGGGCGGGAGGGGCTGGTGACGGCCACGACCCGGTGGTGGTCGTGCCTCACTTTCTTCCTAACAATCCTTGCGCTGTGCCGTTAACGTTTATGAAAACAGTCCGTGCAGGAACGTTGTAAACACCCAAAGCGTTTCCAGCCTTGGTGGCCAACTGGCGAACAACCCCATTCAGCTTTTCGCCTCCCCGTTAGGATCAGAATTCGGCTGGCGACTTCCTAGGGTCTGCGACTCCGAGGACCCCTACTAGGAGCACCCAGAGGCTGTTCTCCTAACCCGGAGGTGCGCACGCGCCTGGCACAGCAGGAAAACCTCGCTCCGTTAGAGGAGGCCTCAGAGGCGCCGGGCACCGCTCGGGCCGGTGGAGGCGGAGGCCGGCCGCCCGCCCCGCAGGCCTCCGGCTCCCGCCCGGCCCGGGCGCGTCCGTTTCTCCCGTACCGCCCTCGGGGTTCTTTACCGCGGGCGGGCGAAGGGGTGGAGTGAGGAGAGATGGAGAGGGAGGAGGCGGGATCGCCCGGGGGTTACCCGCTCGGGGAGCCGCTGGAAGTCCCAGGTGGCCTTCCCGGTCAGACGGCGCCAGGCTCTCAGCCTGACGCGCGTCTCCCCTTCCTTCGATTGACTCCTTCGGCTTTCCGTTTTCCTCTTGAGGAGGGGTGGGACTTCCGGTTTCATCTCCGAGGGACTTCTGCCAAGAGCTGATGGACAAAAACAAGACGGCATACGGTCCGCTGGCCACTCGGGGCAGGAAAAGGGAATTCGATGTGGGTTTTACTAGGCCAGTTCCGAGATCCTGTTTTTCGGTCGTGGTGTCCAGTGCTCGGACCACGACAGAGTCGTCCGGGGAGCCGCCGGAAGTCGCTCAAAAGAGGCAGGAAGTCCCTCCCCTTCCTCCCAGAGGGAAGACGGTGAGCCGGAGGAGTCAGTCAGAGGGGCTAGCAGGAGCGATTCCGTCGGCAAACAGGTAAGTTATTCTCTGGCCGGGGCGGGGGGTTTGGAGGCGGGGACCGTCCAGCGTCTGCGCGGGGCCTG